AAGATATTTTTCTTTGCAGGGATGATATATATACCTATAATCAGACGTGTACAGTATATACACAAACGTCTTTTGGGGTTTAATTGAAAAAATAGGATCATCTTGTTGTCAACAGTATTTTTGTCACTTAGAAATGCATTGTGAATCTATGTGCTAGTATAATTTAACACAAGTTTCCTCTCTTGGTATTTTCTTGTCTGGGCATACTCTCATGCATTATTTGTTTCTCTCTTCACTGGTGGCTACTGTATTTCTGCTTTTTTGCCTATAAACAATGCGGTGACACACACCCTTATATTTGAGTTCTTGTGCAGTTGCTCAAATATTGCTCTAGGGCAAATTCCCCAAAGTTAATTTTTTTTGGACCAAAGGATTTGAACATTTTTAAAACTTAGAACACAGAGCACCAAATTGCTCCTTAGAAAGATTGTGCTAGTTCAGTGGCTTGGGAGGCTGTGGTAGGAGAGATTGCAAGTTCAAAGCCACTTAAGCAATTTAGCGAGGCCCTAAGTAATTTAGTGAGACCTTGTCTCAAAATAAAAAAATAAAAAAAGGCTGGGATGTAAATCAGTAGTTAAGCACCCCTGGGTCTATCCCCAGAACCCAAAAACAAGAAAAGAAAGAAAGATTGTACCAGGTACAAACTTATCTACAGTTCCTGTTCTTTTTTTTTTTTTTTTTTTTTTGGTACCAGGGAATGAACCCAGTACCAAAAACCACTGAGCAACATCCCCATTTTTTTCCCCAGCCCATTTTAATATTTCATTTAGAGACAAAATTGGCCAGTCTGATAGACAAAACATGTTATCTTATTATTTACAATCAATTTCTTTAATAACAAGGGAGGTTGGGCATATTTCTTTGTGCTTATTAGTTATTTTATAATTTCTCCTTTAGCAGTTTTTTTCATGTCGTTTGCACATTTTTGTATCCCTTACAAAGCTTATTTATTTATTTAAAGTTTAATTATGCAAGTCACATGGGTGGGTGCGTGTGTTTGTGTGATAGGCCAAATACAAAGCTTAACTTCTTTTACTGCTTTCATCTTTGATAATAAAATAAAATAATAATAAAATAACTTTTGGTAGTTTGAGTTATATTTTTTCCAAATAGTTTCCTACACCATGCTTTAGATTTTGTTTTTAAGGTTGTATTTATGTAAGTGGGATCATATTCAATGAGGTGTGCTCTGATTTTCTCCTTCTCCCCAACTTTCCCTCAGTGTTCCTTGGAGAGTGGCTTATTTAAGCAATAGAAATTGATTGCTTTGTTTTTGAATGGTTGCATAGCTTTCTTGAACAGCTCTATTGATATAATTCACAGACCGTAAAGTCACCCATTTAAAGTGTACAATTTAGTGGTTTTGGCATATGCATGGAGTTTTGCAACCATCACCTCACCACAATCAATTTTAGAACAGTTTCACCACTTCAGAAAGAAACCCAGGATCTTTTAGCTCTCGCCATCCAACCTCCTGACCCCTCAGCCCTAAGCAAACACTAATCTACTTTCTGTCTATATGGATTTACTATATAAGTGGATCATATAACATGTAATCTTTTATGTCTGCCTTCTTTCACTTAGTATACTATTTTCGAAGTTCATCCTTATTGTAGCATGTATAGTACTTTATTCCTTTTGTGGCTGAATACTATTCCATTGTGTAGGTATACCGCATTTGTAACCTACTCACCACGTGATGGACAACTGAGTCGTTTCCGTCTTTTGGCACACACGAAAAGTGCTGCTGGAGCATTCTGTATGAACAGAATTCTCAATATTCTGTATGAATATTGAGTTGTTGGAGTTTTTTATGTATTCTAGCTATAGGTATTTGTTTGAGTCCCTGTTTTCAGTTCTTTTGGGTATATACATTGGAGTGGAATTTCTGGGTCACCTGGCAACTCTATGTTTAGCTTTTTGAGGTGACACACACCCTTATATTTGTGTTCTTGTGCAAAATTATTTTTCACAGCAACTGTGCCATTTTACATTCCTATCAGTAATATATGAAGGTTCCAATTTCTTTACATTCTTGCCTGCACTTATTTTCTGCTTTTTGATAATAGTTATCTTAGTGGAATATCATTGTGGTTTGGATGTGTATTTCCTGATGGCTAATGATGTCGATTGAGTATCTTTTTACGTGCTTATTATCAATTTGTATATCTTCTCAAGGGAAAATATCTATTTGGATCCTTTTCCCATTTTTAAAAGGAGTTTGTTTTTATTATTGAGTTGTCAGAGTTTTTTATGTATTCTAGCTATAATTCTCTTATCAGATATATGGTTTGCAAACATTTTCTCCTATTCTGTGGGTTGTCTTTTTACTTTCTCCAGACTGAATATGAGGATTTAGTGTTAATTCTTCTTTAAATATTTGGCAGATGGCATTGAAGAAGGAGAGAGAGAGGAAGGGAGGAAGAACAGGAAAGGGGGGTGAATGCAGTGTGGATTTAACAAAATCATGCTATATGCATGTATAAATATACCACAGTGAATTCTACCTTTATGTATATGTATAAAATACCAATAAAAAATAAATAAGCAGGTTGGGTGCGGTGGTGCATGCCTGTAATCCCAGTGGCTGGGGAGGCTGAGGTTGGAGGATGAAGAGTGCAAAGCCAGCCTCAGCAGTTTCGTGAAGTGCAAGCAACTCAGTGAGACCCTGTCTCTAAATAAAATGCAAAATAGGGCTGGGGATGTGGCTCAGTGGTTGAGTGCCCCTGAGTTTAATCCCCGGTACACCAAAATAAATAAATAAATGAATAAATAAATAAATTAGTGAAAGAAAGTTAAGCAAAACAGAGGAAGAAGAAGGAGAGGAAGACAGGGAGGGAAAGGGGATGGACACCAACGACTGAAATGGTGTAAATCAAATTCCATGCATGTGTGATTCTGTCAAAATGAACCCAACTATTATGTATAGCTATAATAGTTCAATAAAAAACAGTAAAAAAAAAAAAAAGAAACAAATGAACACACACAAAAAAATATTAGATAGAATTTACAAATGAAGCCATCTGGGCCTGGACTTTTCTTTGTGGGTAAATTTTTGCATCATTAATTCAATCTCCTTATTTCTTATATGTCTTTTTCAATTTTGTATTTCTTTCTGAGTCAGTTTTGATAGTTTGTGGTTTTCTAGGAATTTGTCCATTTCATCCAAGTTATCTAATTTGTTGACATGAAGCTGTTTGTAGTATTTATTTTTATTCTATGAATGTAGCTTACTCTAACCAGTTTCCGAATAGATTGGCATTTAAGTTGTTCCAAAAAAAATATTTAAATGTTACAAACAATGCAGCAATGAACATTTTGAGAGTATGTATCTCTGTGTACGTGTGAATGTTAGAATATAGATCACTAGAAGTGCAATTGGTGGGTCGGGTGTCTGTGTATTTAAAATGTTGGTTGTTTCTGTCCCCTGTCCTCTTTCTGCTCATCTTTATTGATTGGTGTGAGCTCTTTATATCTGGCAATCCTGGTCTTCTGGAGATGGAGTTGGTAAGAATGCACAGTATTAGTTGGTGCTTTTATACCTAGAGAAGTGGGAAGGGTAGGTTTGGGTGTTTGTCAGCTGTTCTAGTCAAGGATATTGGGTGTGGGTGCACCAAGCCTACTCCTGTACATTCACATGTGGAGTCTATAGACCTAGATCCTGACTGCTTGGAGGTCTTTCCCTTCTGAGGAATTCTGAGAGCAGTCACCTGGAGGGGCCCATTCCTGCCATAAAATCCAAATCATCTCAGTCAGGCCTAGCTTGGCCTGTTAGAGGCAGAAAGCCTCTGACCTGAACTGACAGCAGTTCAGGATCTAGATCTGTAGACCCGACATGTGAATGTATAGGAGTAGGCTTGGGTCACCCATACCCAGGCAGTTCTGGCTCTTTGGTGCCTACAGAGGAAGGGAGATTTGGGGAGGTACTGATTCTGCATGAAAAAGAGTTGAGGACAGTGCCTTCTTCCTTGTCACTGCATTCTTTGGGCACTGTCTGTCCAGGCACCTCAACTCATGGCTTGCCAGTGCTCAGATTTGTGTAATGATGTTAGTATAAGAAATTAGGGGGTTGGGGGTTGTGGCTCAGTGGTAGCGTACTTGCCTAGCATGGGCAGGGCACTGGGTTCGATTCTCAGCACCACATACAAATAAATAAAATAAAGGTCCATTAACAACTTAAAAAAAAAGAAAGAAATTAGGGTTGTTTTTCTGGGGTGGGAAGTGGGGGACTTCGGAGGGACAGGAACATGTTTTTCATCAGGTGAAGCTTCCAGCACTCAGCTGTGCATTCTACCTTCTTGTTCTCCTTTATGCCTTTACCTGGAGTTTACAAAGGGGTCAGTGGAGGAGGTTAAAGGTTTGAACAGCTGCAGTTTGATATTTTTAAAATAATCCATCCATGAGCTGGAGGCTCAGATGAATGGGTTTCAGGCTGCGTTTCACAAGCTCTAGGGTCCCAAAACAGTGCCGTGTGGCAGGGGCCAGGGTGGCCCAGGGGGCACAAAGAGGCTCCAGCCTCTTTGGCTGCCCTGACTGGAGTGGCTGTATATACTGGCTCTCTGTTGGGGTACTGAGTGAGATTTTGTAGGAGACAGAGAGTCTTTGTTGCCACAGATGTCAGAAAACTACGTGTGTTGGACATTTTGGCTTCACTGTTGGGTTGAAAACATCCCAAACATGAATCCTGCTGGAGGCCAAGTCTCCATTGGTGTTTGGGGAATGTGGCTTTTCCCAGGGGTCCCACTGCCCCTTCCCCCACAAGAGACGGAGTGTCTGCTCTCTCCCCGGGGCCAGTGGCCAGCCCAGGCCTGTTTAATTTTCTCTTTTGTTGAATGGGGTGTTCTGGCCCTCCAGTTCTGCAAGGCAAAATCAAATTATCTTCTCTCTTGACTCAAATGAATGTCCTCCCTGGGGAAGCCCTGGGCTTAGCTTCCAGGCAGTTGGTGAGGAGGAGGCTCTGACTCCCGTCTTTCTCTCCCTCCCCACTTTGTGTCTTTCAGTCGGCAGAGTTCTTCGAGATGCTGGAGAAAATGCAGGTGAGCACCCCCAAAGTGGGGAAGCAGCCAAGCCATGGGTGCAGTTGCTGCTGGGACCTTGGGGGTCTCAGTAGCAGGAGATACCTTGGAGGGACAGGTCCCCACAGCCCTGACAACCTGAGGCCATTTTGCTATTGGGCAGCGAAGCACTTGGGAAGACTCCAGCCTGAGGACGGGAAGGACCAGCTGGGGATCCATAAATTCCACGGAAGTGGGGAGGGCTGGAAAGGGGCCATTGTTCCTGGAATGGGTTGGAAAGAAAGCTTGAAAAAGCAAGCCCCATCTGAGGGGTGTCATCTTGGGTCGGGGAAGCGAGAGCTGCAGCATGGGAGGCAGATCCAAGTTCAAATCTTGCATTGGACACTTGGTTGTACGAGTTCCTTACCATTTCCACGCCTCTAAGTAAACAATCATAAAAATGCTCACTGAGCTGAAATAAGAGAATATATGTAAATAATTGGTAGGCACTCTGTGAAAGTCAATGTTCAATGTGGATTTGAGGGACTTTTATAAGCACAGTCCTTATCTGCAGATTCCAAATCTATGGATTAAACCAACCGTGGAAAATTTGGTTTTATGTGGATGGAGAACATTTTAGAAAAATTTACATCTGCATTGAACATGCACATACTTTTTTTCTTGTCATTCTTCTCTAAACAATGTAGATAACATCTATTTACATGACATTTATGTTGTATTAGGTAATATAAGTAAGCTAGAGATGATTTAAAGTATATGGGAGGCTGTGTAGGTTCCAAACACCATGCCATTTTAAATAAGGGATCTGAGCATTTGTGGGTTTTTGTATCCCTACGGGTCCTGGAACTAATGCTTCCGAGGTCAGGCTCTCAGGTAAGAAGGTTGCCCTAGGGAATATGAGCAGAGGTCCAGGTGGAATTGATGTGGGTGAAGAGAATGGGAAGAAGTTGATAATGGCACACGTTTCAAGCACTTCTCCTGGGCTCAGGGATTGACAGGTGTTATTTTGTCCTGACAAAGCCCCATATCACAGGTGAGGAAAGTGAGGCATTGAGCTATTAAATTAAGTACTCTAGGACACATGGCAATCAAGTAAGTAGCTTGAGAGCCAGAGAGCTTAGCCATTGTACCATGATACTTTTTACCCTAAGTAGAAGAGACAGATCCTGTAATAAGGTTCTGGAAGCTCCAGGAGGAGGGGCAATATGGGGCTCAGGGCAGTCCTGAGATGCAAGTCTCCTGAGGGGAGGTGAGGAGAGGGACGGGTTGGAGGGAAAGATAGTATTTGTCCCCACCACGAGTCAATTATTAAGATTCTACTCCATACTCGACAGTGTGTGGACTGAAAACTCATTTTACATTCATTTAGGGAACTTCTAATCAAGTTGTGGAAACAGGGCTGGCATGTGCTCTGCGTGAGCTGTGGGGACAGGGTATAATTAAGTGCTCAACTGCTTGGAGCAGAACTGGGATTTTCCCTTCAAGCCGATGGGATCCCTTTATTCTGGCAAGCTGGTGGGGAATCAGAGGCTCCACCTTCCTACTCCCTGGTGGCCTCTGCCTTCCACCTGTCCTCACCCCCCCAGCTGGAGTCCCCTCCCTCCCCCACAGGGCATACAATTTGGCCCCACTTAACTGGCCTCATATTGTTCTGTTTTTAGAGGCTGTCGGTTGGGTTTGCTTCTCAGCTAGACTGGGAGCTTCTCCAGGGCAGGGGCTTGTTTTTCCCCTCCCTCTATATTTCTATGACAACCGACACCCAGCACCCATGGTGGTTTGCCATTTCTGTCTCAGTTGAGACACGGGAGCCAAACTTCCCAGCGTGTAAGACTCTACCACGTGTCAGTGGGTGCCAGCGGTGGAGGGTTCAGTCCCCAGCTACTCTGCTGATAGGAAACTTGCATGTGGGGAACTGATGGTGGTCAGGCAGTGCATAGTGTGGGTGGATTCTGTCCTTGGGCATGGGCTTCTTCCCTGTTCATCTTGCAGTTGTGAAAACAGAGCCTCAGAGCAATTAAGTGCCGGGGTCACTCTGCTAGTTATGAGGAGCTGGAACTAGGCTCAAGGATCCCTGATTCCAGCCCAGGAGTCTAGGGATTTGAAGAAGGGCACAACCCCCGTGAAGCAAAGGGAGTTTAGTGCACGTGCTTTGGAAGCTTCAGTCCTGGGCTCAGGTTTAACCTCCATGCCTTCTAATTGAGTATCTTTTCCCTCTGAGCCTCCATTTCTTCATGGCGGGGGTGGGGTGGGTGGTGAGGCAGCTAGTGATAGTACCTGTTGTACTCAGGGAAGAGGCGGCCCTGCTTGGGCAGTGGCTCTTTTTGTGGGGCAGGGAGTGGGGTGGCTGAGGGGCTGGGAGGAGGTTTTCTCTCCTGCCTCAGGGACTGTTCCCAGACAGGGATGACTAATGCAGGACAAACAAAGTGAACTCCTGACATCACTCCCTCACCCCCACTTACCCAGTTGGCCAACCCCGACAGGGTCTGCAGGGCCACCCAGGTGGTTTTCTGCCTGTGTGCAGGAGGAGCACCTGTCTTGTGGGAGGGGCCCTCCCACACCCTCCTGAACAATGCTGCAGGGTGACTCAGCCCAGAGAAGTCCAGGGAAAGGGAAGCCGCATCTACATCTACTCAGTTAGCAGGAGCCCTGGTGTCCAGGAAGTGGGGGGTGTGGTCATATGGATAGGTGACCTGGCTTCAAATCCAAGCCTTGTCAGTCACTAGCTGTGTGTCCTTAGGCACATGGCCCCCCAGTGGGGTCTTTGTTTCCTTGCTGGTGAAAAGGTGCTGTGAGCTTCTCAAAGGAGGCCTGGGGAAACTCACCTTGGAAGGTGTGTCAGTGCTCTGGCTAGATAGGGACTGCTTCTGGGCTGTCTTCGGAGGGGAACTTTCTCCTAGCTTGTCCCACCAGCTCAGACCCTCACCTGATTTATTCAGTCTTGGGACACCATGTGTTTCCCTCCCACACAACCCAGTTAAGTCAGAACCCAATTATAGGACTGCTGGAAAAGGCACTGCTCTCGGAAGTGAATTTTCCAGACACCTGCAGGTTAATTCCCTCAGTCTAATCCCAGTCCTCAAATCTGATCCTCAAATAGATACTCCGTGTATCTATGAAGTTTTTTTTTTTTTTTTGGCATGGGGGTGATGGGGAATGTGTCTCATTCTCATTTTATAGATGCAGCTTAAGGGTCACATAGAGGAGGCTTGCAGCAGAAGGAGGACCTGTGGAGGCTCTCCCATCAGGGGGAGGCTGCTGATGGTGGTGCAACGGACATGGGTTCCCATTTTAGCCCCTCACCTGCTGACCTTGTGGCCCTAGGGAATACATTTCAGCTCTAGGATGATAACAGTGGTATTGCCAGCCTATGGTACTGATAACCCAGAGCACTAACTAGTTACTAGTCAGTATTCCAAGGACTTCACCCATTGTTAACCTTTGATCTTCAACACAATGGTAGGTGCTGTCATCATTCGCATTTCAGTCACAGGGCAGTTTCTGTGACATGGTCATGGTCATTAGGCTAGTAACTAGCAGTGCAGGGATTTGAACCCAGGGCATCTGGCTCCAATCTAGACTGTTAACTGAGCTACTAGCTGTCTCGTCTGGGGCTGCTGTGAGGACTGACAGTGACAAGGCAGTGAGCGCTGCCAGCTGTTGCTGCTGTCACCATCATTAACCCCCAGCAAGGCCAGTTGCCCAGAGACTCCTCTCTTTGGTCACTCTTTCGTGACCTTTGCTTCCACGGGTCCTCTTTTCCTTTTTTCCACAGGGGATCAAGCTTGAAGAGCAGAAGCCAGGACCCCAGAAGAACAAGGTGGGCTGGGTGGCTGAGGTGCTCGTTGGGTGGGCCCAGTGAGGAGTCCTGAGTGGGACGAGGGCAAGGAGACAGGGTTCTTCTGTCTCCCTCCTGTCTCCCTCTGGTTTCCACCGAGAGCCACTGAAGTGACTGAAGCCTGGTTACACTTGTGCCTGGTAGGCAGCAAAGGGGGACCTGGCTCCATGCCTTTAAAGGAACTTCAGAGCGGGCTGGGGTGGGGATGGGAGCCTTGAAGGAGACCCAGGATTGGTGGCTGGGCCTGGCTGCTCCCCCCGCCTATTTGGCACCTGTCTCTGCACCTGCACAGTGTTTGGGACTGTCAGACTCAGTTTCAGAGGACTAGCAGCTCTTAGCTTTGGTTTTTTTCAATGCCTGAGGGTACCTTGGAGTTCAGCCCTGTTACCTGGAGAAGGCTGCTGGGTGAGACTAGGGGCCATCGCCCTATGTTGGCACCCTAGGCTGAGAAGCTGGTCTCACTAGGGGTGACAGGGTCAGCACCTTTGTATGCTGAGTCTTTGGCTCAACTGAGTTTGCGTTCAGGTGTGGTCAATTTGAAGATGAGCACAACTTCTGTAAGATATCAGATCCCGCAGCTGCCTCTAGGCTGTTCTTCCACCTCATGTGTTTCTCCCAAAGCCCTGGTGCAACCTGCTAAGCCTCCCAGTGCATCCCCTCCCATGATCCAGGAGAGGGACATGGAAACAATGATCTGACTTTATCACCACTGCGAGGACTAACAGTTCTGTTCTCTGGTTTGTCTTGCAGGATGACTATATCCCATATCCCAGCATTGATGAGGTAAGAGCCCCCCTGTCTGTACTGCAGCCCGATTTGGCCCTGCCCCTGAGGAGATCATGGCCCTTCCCAGGCCCACATGGGAAAGAACCTCAGGCCTGGGATTTGAGGGCTTGAGGCCTCTTTCCATGTTTGCCTCTGTGACTTTGGCTTTTCCATGTTTTAATTGGGGGTTCCCATCCAGGCCTTGCAACCCACAGGCACAGGGTCAGCTGGTAAAGCTGGAGATGCCAGTGGGTCACAGAGGAGGGATTCATGTTACTGACTTTGGCCTTAAAAATACCAGACTCCCTTCCCTGGAGCAGTTCAGAGGTGGGTGGGGACACCACAGGCACCTCCTCCTGCAGTCTCCAGGGTAGGCTTGCAAGACAAGATCCTCCCTCTGCCTCCAGGTTGTGGAGAAGGGCGGCCCATACCCTCTGATCATCCTGCCCCAGTTTGGGGGCTATTGGATTGAGGACCCGGAGAATGTGGGCACACCAACGTCACTGGGCAGCAGCATCTGTGAAGAGGAGGAAGAGGACAACCTCAGCCCCAACACATTCGGCTACAAGCTCGAGTGCAAGGGCGAAGCCAGGGCCTACCGCAGGCATTTCCTAGGGAAGGTGAGGTCCGGGACCCTGGGATAAAAGAGCTGCCAGAGGATGAAGTGCCCTGGGTGGGTAGGGGGTCCCCTCTCCAGTGCCCCCTCTGTTCTCCCTGCCATTTCTTCTTCCCAGATCTGTCCCCTTTCTGCCTGTCTGCATTTGTATAAATAGGAGAAGTTTGACTGGCAGTATTCTGGGGCAGGGGCAGGGGAGCAATGCAGAAGTCCCATGATGGGTCCTTTAGGGGTCACCCCCAGCAAGGGTTCCAGGAGTTGATGGGATGGGTACTTTTTGGGGGTGCAGGAGAGTGGGCAGAGTTTTGACTTCTCCAGAAAAAAACACATCCTCACATCTTGTAAGTCTACATTACCATTTTCTTAGTGCACATGTCTCACGTCCTGTATGCCGTTCCTCTGAGCACAGTGTGCTTGCTGTGACCCTCTGATTACTTAAAAGTGACAAAGTTATATATCTTTAAATATATTCTGCCCTTCAAATTTGCTAGATTCCCTAAGTCCCCAGGGCAGATTCTGGATATCTCAAGTCGGAGACAGCTTTGCAGAGACTCACTTGGAGGAAGCTGTACCCAGACCTCCAAACCCCAGGACGTTAAAATGTAGATTCCACAACCAACCCTGACTTGGTGGACCTGGCATGGGCTCCAGGAAGCGATGTTTGTAGCCCAGGCTCCCGGGTTCAGAGAACCTCTCACCTCCCTTTGGGTGGAGGTGTTGAGTGCCTCTTAGCTTTCTCCCACAGAGAGTCTAGGGTGGTGAGGGCTGCTCCCCTGGGAACATCTGGTGGCGAAGAGCTTCAGCAAGTTGAGACAGATCTGAGTTTGAATGTTGGTGTCCGTGTCTGTGGAATGGGGATGATCTCTTGCCTAAAACTGTGGTCAGGATTAAAGAAGATAGTAGGTATTAAACCCATAGCACGGTGCTTGGCATGTCCCGTAGCAGTGACATCCTTAGCTTCCTCATTTCTGTGGGGCTTCTCCTTCCTGGTGAAGAAGGTGGTTTGGGGTGACATGTCTGGAGGCTTGCCTCCCCTCCACTCACACCTGATTTCTGTTTCTAGGATCATCTGAACTTCTACTGTACCGGCAGCAGCCTCGGGAACTTGATTCTGTCCATCAAGTGTGAGGAAGTGGAAGGGATTGAGTACCTCCGGATTATTCTCAGGTGGGTGGGGCTGTTGTATTGGTTGCTACACCTCTTCTGGGTGGGTCTGCCGAGTGTGTGTGTGTGTGTGTGTGTGTGTGTGTGTGGTGGGGCAGAAATACCAGTCTGACCAGGTCTGGTCTGGGTGTGCTGGAAGAAAAGAACTGCTGGCATCTTGGGGCTGTATTTGAAGTTGCCAGGCATTAGAACCAGGTGGCCCCAGCTGACTGATTCTCAAGGTCAACAAGACCAGACCCCAACATGCCTCTCTTTCATATAAGGGACCTAGCCCTGAGAAGGATGGAAACAGAGAGTAGGGGTGGCTTGGTGTGTTTTATCATGCTGAGACACAGCTTTATGTCCTGGGAAAGGGTTGTCCAAAATGCTGCCTATGGTGACCACTGAGTCAGGGAAGGTGGATCCCAAAGCCTCTGTTGTGTGTGCTGGGTTCATGGAACTGGAGTGATCTTTACAACAGGAGCACTGATTTATAGGTGAAGCCAGGGCACCTCTCCCTGGATTGTGACTTCCTGAAGGGCAGGAACTGGAACTGGCTTCTGTTTGGTTCAAATAACGTGTTTTGTAAAACCTTTCTTGTACCAGGAGATAGGGGAAGTTCTGGGGGGTACAAAGATAACTGAGATTTGGTCCCTGTTCCCTAAGGATTTATGGTCTAGCAAGTGAGAAAAATAGAATTTTAAGATGTGTCACAAGTATTATTTTAGTCATATGCACAGAATGTTATGAGAGCCCAGAGGAGTGTGTGCCTTATTTATCTGTCCCTGGCTGGGGGGTACAGAAGCCAGGAAGGCCAAGGGGCTGGAGCTTAGTAGACTTCTATGAACATGTCAAGTTCTCAAATCATGTTTATTGAATCTAATCATAAGTTCTTAAAGGTGTTTGGAAGGGAGCAATAACAGTTTTTTTTTATTCTGTCTAAATTTTGAGATAAACATGGGAAGGAAGAAAGACATTTAACCCTGCTTTGGGAGAGGTAGGAGACCGTATGGTTTGAATAAATGGTTAGCCCCCATCCAACCTGATTTGCTTCTGATGTAGAAAGGAAGCAGTTACATATACAAAAGTTCACCTGAGTGGACATCGTATTTGCAGAACATGGAAAGTCAATTAAATAACGACAGAAAAATCTCAGAGCGGGTAATACCTGGATCCCTGTAAATAGGATTTCTAGCTAGAGGAACCTCTCTGAAGAAAAGTATTTTATTTCTTAATAAAAATTAGACCAAGATTATCTGGGACTTCTAAGTCAGATGACAGTAGGATCTCAGCCCTCTTTCCTTAATGCTACATCCTATCTGAAACATTGTATCAGGACTGAAAGTTGGAGAAGGTGCCAAGCACAACAGCACACTTTGATATTTTAAAAATTGCCATTTATAGGATAGTTAGGACCCAAATGTAGGTGATATGGAGTTGAACCCTAGATCCCCTTCCTAAGAAAGCAATGTAGTGTAGGACTATATGCAACTGAAGATTCTGGAAGAAACCTGTTCTCTTTAGGAGTGAGAGGGAGCCCTGAATGGTGAGGGGTCTTTCTGCATAGAACCACTTTTGTTACTTTGGGCCAGCAGTATTTGAAATCAATACCAGGGAGAGCCCAAGGATAAGCTCAAATGTGGCTCTCCCCAAAAGAAAGCCAGTGGGCAGGGTGACAGAGAGAAGCCATGTATCAGCTAGGAAGTTGGACAATCACATCATGTACTTGGAGTGATTGCCAGGCCAAATTGAAAACCAGGCCTGAAAAATTGGCTCGATGGCTTAGCAGCTTTACCAGACACAAAGAAGTACTTATCCAGAGATGAAATGCCCTTGCTGGCAGTAACTACTGTCCCCACTTCTTCCTCATTCCCCATGGAGTTCTAGATTATTTAACCGATGTCCCAAATTTATCACAACCAGCACTCCAGCCTAAAATCTGAGAATAGCCTTCTGACAACCTCTGTGTATGCACGAGAGTAGCCAAGTGGGATCTACCTGTCGTTTGGAGATATCTTTTCATACACTTAAGCATCACTTGTGCTTATTTCCTGTGAACTGTCTGTTCATAAGCTTTGTCCTTTTTAAAAACTGGATTGTGATCTGAAATTTCTGCTTTTTAAAAATCTTGTAGATGGTTCTTGCAGATGAATTTAGGAACTAAATACATTTCAAAAAGCAAATTCTCTTCTGGATCTATTCACTTTTACATTGACAATAAAACTAGAAATTAGTAACAAAAGAATGTTTTGGAAAATCCACTTTTTTTTGCCACTTAGAAGTAAACAGTCTCAATACTTTCCTAAGTAACCTATAGGACAAAGAAAAAGTCAAGGATATAGTTAAAGAATATTTATAGAGTAATGACATTTACGATATTCCACATAAAGAAATTGGGTTGTCTTCAGAACTACGCTTAGAAGAAAGTTTATTGCCTTAAACAATCTCCTATTAAATAAGAAAGAGTGATGTTTACATGTGTTGTTATTGTTAGTGACCTCTTTCGGCCTCAGTTTCCTCATCTGTGAAATGGCAGCGATAGTATCTATGTTAAAATTCTTGAGTGTTTATCTGCCCTGGTGAGTCAGAGCTCATCATATTGTAGCTACTCAATAATGTAATAATGGTAGCTACTATTCTTTTCATCATTGATATGATTATCTAAGGAAAGTGAGAGAAACAAAAAAGATTAAAGCAGAAATAAATAAAGTTAGAAATAAAAAGAGTACAAGACTTGATAAATCTGGGCTTCTTTTAGGGGAAACAAAACAAGAGAGGCAACTAGCTAGTTAAATGTAGATAAAAAGAGAAAATAAAAACACACAAAATTAGGCATAAAAAGACACATAAGCACAGAAGTGAAGGTTAAATAATTATTAATGGGTGCTGTGTGCAGTTTACACTATTAAATTGGAAATGTTAGTTGAAACAGATGCCTTTCAAGGAAGTATACATCACCAAATGTAACTCAAGATGAGGTAAAAAAACCCAAATGCACCAATAAATTAGAAAAATTCTCAAAAGAATTATCCCTCCAAATGCTCCTAGGTCTGAACGGTTTTGTGGGTAAGTATTTTAAACTTTAAAGGAACAGATTTGTGTTATTTAAACTGTTCAAAAGAATAGAAAAATATGGAAAGCTTCCCAATTAATTTGATAATGTTTAGAGGATCCTCGTGGAAAATAAGACAGGCAAATGAAATGTAAGTTAAAAAAGAAAAAAACAGGTCCCAGTATTCCTTATTAATAATAGAAGAATGTTTAGTCTGAGAAACTCAAATTCAAGCAGTCTATTAATAAAAGTTTACTATAGTCAAGAAAGAATTATTTTAGCAATGCAAGGATGGTTAATATGAGGGACTACATGATTTATTCAGTGTTTGTTTAACCAAGGCTTACTATGTGCCAGACTTTGTTTAGTGGTAGGGAATTCTATGAGGAATAAGCTCTTAACTTGTGTATTTGGCCATAGAAAGCATTCAGTACATTTTATATATTCTTTTTTTCCTTGCTCTTCTTCCTCCCTCCCTCCCTCCCTCCCTTCCTTCCTTCCTTCCTTCCTTCCTTCCTTCCTTCCTTCCTTCCCAAAATGCCAAGTATTGAACCCAGGGCCTTGTGCATGGTAGGTAAGGGCTCTATCACTGAGCTATACCCTTAGCTTTACTCATCTTCTTCTTATGGACCTGAATCGTTGTAGGCTAGTGGGGATGGTGCAAAAGATAGATGTTGACGGAGAACTGAAAGGAGTTCAGGATGGTTTGATTGTGGAAAGTGTGTCGTGTGTGTGGGGTTGAAAGACTGTGTTGGAGAGATGTGGGAGAGCTAGTTCATGTACAGATCATCTTTAGGAGCTTAGATTTTTATTGTAGGAGCAAGAGGAGAGCTACAGAAGGGAGAATGTTACAAAAAGATCTGTAGAAAGGTCATTCTGGCTAGAGTAAGGGCAATGACTTGGAGGAATGTCAAGGCCAAGAGAAGGAAGGTGAATCAGGAGGCAGCTGCAGTGAACCAGGTGATGTGAGCTAGGTGATGATCCAGGCCACCAGATTGTATAACATGAATGGTGCCCCCAGAGTGGTACAGACTAACAGCCAGGATGGGGACTGAACTGAGAATAGAGAAAAGTGGGTGGAAAATTCCAAGCACCTGGGGAAAACTGACATTAAGAAAGACAGCCGAAATGTCAACAAATGGGAGATGGATTTACTGCTGATGAAATGCAAATAATGGTAGTCTTTCAAAATGACTTAAAATAAATATATTTAACATCTTAAAAAGACAAATAATGAATAGCATCTATAAAATGGATAAATTATAAAACAAGGAAATGAATTAAGAACACGTGGGCATGTAAGGAAAATGATTAGAATTTTGAGGAATAAAAAAAATAGTTGTTGAAATAAGCTTAACATATAGGATAAAATCTAGTTTGTTCAAAGAGTGAATTTGTGAATCAGAAGAGAGTCCCAAGGAATTCATCCAGAACACAGCACAGATAAAGAAATAAAGTATACAAAAAGGAAGATAAGATGTGGAAAATAGACTTAGAGGCCTCAGAATTTGTTTCAAAGGAGTTCCAGAAGGAAATACTAGAGAGATTAGTGAACAAATACCCAGAGGGAATATCTGAGAATATTTCAGAATTGAAGAAAGTACATAACCTACAGCTGAGAGCAATTTTAAAACAAAACAGTACTTTTAGACATGTTGATGTGAAACATCGGAAATCAAAGATTAAAGAAATTTTAAGACTACCTGAGGATAAAGCCAGACCGTCTTTGAGGTAGTGACAACTAGGCCGAGAATAGATTTTTCCTAAGCCATAATAGTTGTCAAAAGACGATGGGGACAGTATCTTTAAAGTATAGAGAGCAAGCAAGTGAGAAAAAAGGAAAGAAATTAAAGAAGAAACACTCTTAACCCAATGTTCTATGCCCAGAAAACAGCAAAGACAAGATAAAACTGTTTTCAAACATAAACAAATGGGAGTGTACCACTCACAGAGTCTCCCTGAAAGAATTACTAAAGGATGTACTTCAGCTAGAAGAAAGAGAACTCAGAAGAAAAGAGGCAGTTAAAAAGTCACAAGATATAGGTAAACCGTATTGATAAATTTAATTACTGACTGGAAAAAGAAGTGATTTTTTGGCATCTTTAAAAGGAGACTTGAACTAAATTTATAAACAAAAGTAGCAAGGACAATGGGAGAGGAATAGTTCAGTGTTTAAAGCATACTTTATTTTTTTTATTTGCTTTCCTCTATAGGAAAAACATAACAATTTTAGGGTTTGTTGGAAAAAATATAAGTATATATGTTGGAATACATAGAAATACAATCTGTATCTCCAAAACTAGCAGACATATAAAAAGAGAATGCAAAACAAAACAAAAAATACTCATAACTTTATTCAATTGAAGGCAGGAAAGGAAAAAACCCCACAGGGAATAGTAGATATAAAATGACAGAGTAGAAATGATTTCTAATATATTAGTAGTTACAGTAAGTAAAAATAGATTAGATTAACCTACTAAGATATCAGACTATTAAATTGAATTTAAAAATGGAAGTATATTATGATTATAAGAGACTTAAGGAAGAGTGACATGGAAAGATTTAAAAGAAAGAAATGGAAAAAGACACACTGGGAAAATACTAACCAAGAAAGTTGGCATAACAATATTAAAGTCAGACAAAAAGGGGTTGGAGTTGAGGCACAGTGGTAAAGCGCTTGTCTTGCATGTGTGAGGCCCTGGGTTCGATTCTTAGCACCACATATAAATAAATGAATAAAATAAAAGTCCATCAACATCTAAAAAATATTTTTTAAAAATCAGACAAAATAGAATTACAGGTAAAAAGCATTAAGGATAAAGGAAGTACTCCTTTGTAACCTGGGAATACTTCTTTCCGACTCCTCGTGTTTCCTACTTTGTGGAGGGACCACTTTTGTATAACACCCCTGGTTCTCTCTGCCCTCTGGCAGGTTCATTTAGGAGCAAGAACTTTTTTTTCTACCCTTTCCTCTTGGAGTTCTCTCCTGAGCAGTCCCCCGGGGGGTGGGGGGGGCGGGGGTCTTAACCTCTGTCCAGCACTACCTGTGACTGGATGGATATGTTTGGCTAATTCTGGGTTTTAGTTAGAAAGCCTCATTTCATCTTCCTTTATACTAAGCTGTGTTCTCACTTGGTCTTTATCAGTAACAAAGAGCTATTTGACTCTTGACTGCCTTACTCTTTGGTATTATTTTGTTTCTGAATTTGTTCAGAACCTGGGCAAGGAAAGATAGCCTCTGCAGGGTCCCCTCTGAGGCCTCCATCTACATGAGGATGGAGAGGACAGGTCTCGCAAGCCTCTGTACTTGGTAACAGAGGCTTGAATTTAAAAAGTAAAAACTGACAGAAATATAGGGAGGGGTAGACAAATCTTCATAGTGGGAAATTTTGATAACATCTCTCAGAAGACAATGGATCAAGTAGATAAAAAAATTGTGAAGATAAAGAAGATCTAAACAATTCAATGAACAAACTTGATCTGGTAATGTCTATTCCTTTTCTCAACAAAAGAAAAAAAATAACATCCTTTTCAGTATGGTAAAAAAAGAAATAAAATATTTCATGTACTAAGTCAGCAAATTTTAAATAATGAATATCATATACATTATGTTCCCTGAAAATAAGAGAATTTATTAACCAACAATTAAGATACTGGAGGATAAACCTTCCTTATTTGGAAAGTTTTTTTTTTTTAAATTCTTTTAGCTGGGGATGTGGCTCAGTGGTAGAGCACTTACCTAGCATGTGTGAGACTCTGTGTTCAATCCCCATCACTGAAAACAAATAAATAAGAAAGAAAAGGAAAAAAAATATATAAAAAAACCCTTTTAAAATGACTCCTTGGTTAAAGAGAAAATCACAAAAGAACTGACAAAATATTTAGAACTAAATGACAGTAAAAATACTACCTATCAAAATGTGTGGGATGTAGTTCAAGTGGTACTTACAGAGAGATGTATAGTTCTAAGTGCACTTGTAATAAACAAGAAGGAAGATTACATGGGTAAGCGTGCAGGCCAGGAAGTTAGAACAAGAATAGTAGGAAAAACCCTGAAGGAAATAGAAGAAAGGAAAGAACAAGCTGGTGAAGTAGAAAGAAATGAAAAAGAACAGAGATGATCATGAAAGCCAAGAGCTGTCTCTTTGAAAAGACAAATGAAATAGGTAAACCTCTAGCTAAGACTGATCAAAGAAAACAGAGAAAAGACACAAACAAGTAATATTACAGCAATGGAGCAGCTACTAACAGTATCTGATACAAGTATATCAATGTGTTTGTTGGATACTTTTATAGAAAAACTTAAGTTACCCAAGTTGACTCAAGAAGGAGTAGAAAATCTAAACACTCACCACTAAAGAACTATGAAGTATCTGATTATAAAAACAGCAGGCTCAGCCATGGCACAGATGAAATTTAGCAAGGCTTTACGGAATGTAAAATCCCTATATTATTCAAGATATTTCAGAGGGCAAGAAGCTATCTCACAACTTTATGTGGCTGGAAATAACACCTTGATATTAAAACCTGGCAAGGAAAATATAAGAAATAAAAGGCCAGTGCTTTTGAACATCGATGTGAACAACTAAATAAACTATTAACCAATGAAATTCAGTAGGATATTAAAAATAATACATCATAAGCAACTGGAGTTTTACGCATGGGATGAAAAGATGGCTTCATAGAAATGTAATCTACCAGGTTAACAGATACAAAGCCATATGATTATCTCAGCAGATGCAGAACAGCATTCAGAAAAATCCCAACACTTTCATAATGTGCTAAATGAATCAGGGGAACAGGCTAAATTTAGAGTCTTATGGTGAATCCCTTATAAAGCAGATTCCATTCCATTTATATTTTGAGTAAATCCAGATTTTCAAAAATTAAATTATCTTTAACTACAGGTTCATTTGCATGTCAAAATCCAAATATACACAGAAGCTGGGTCCAGTTCTTTGGAAGAACACAAAAAACTCACAAAGAAAGAAACAAACAAAAAATAATAATGATGACCTAGAGGGTAGAAATATAGTTATTTCCCATATTTTCATGGCAGACAGCTTTATCAGGCATGTTCTTTGAAGTGTCCACTTCCCCTGGGGTACCTTGGTAGGTTCCATTTTCCCACCATTTGAGTGTGCTGTCCCACACATGGGTCGGGGGAAAGAGGCACACCTGCCCCCAGGGAGACCTGAAACAAGTGCCCTGTCTGGTGTGACCTCAGCCACCTTCCTCGTTGACTCGATTCCTTGTGGGTGCCCTTGCCTCACCCTGTCCTCATGTGCAGGTCCAAACTGAAGACAGTGCATGAGCGGATCCCCTTGGCTGGACTGAGCAAATTGCCCAGTGTTCCTCAGATTGCAAAGGTAAAAACCAACCCTTGAGAGAAGGTGACTTCTTTCCATCAGAGCTGGCCTCTGGGGAATCGAGGGTCTGCCCTTGGGAAGGGGGAGGCCTCTTTTCTCTGGTCCTTGATTGCATGGATGGTAGCTGCGTTCATCAATGCTGAGGCTGCTCAGGGGAGAGTGTAATCCTTCGTCTCTGCTCTAGACAGTTCATACCCAGTTCAGGAGACAAAATATATGGGAAGGCAGGGCTGGCTATGGCAAGAGCGATGGGACTTCAGAAGAGGGGTGTGGAGGGGAGGTCGGGGAGCCTTCACACAGAGGAAAGGCCTAGGCCCGCTGAAGGGTGGTTCAGGCCCGGGACCATGTTGAGTAAGGAGCCAGCTGGCAGAGGTGCCTTGTCACTTTGGGATACAGGGAATTTGGGAACTGAGTCAGCAAAGAGGGGTGAGAGGGTGGGGTTGTATTGGGCCCTCAATCTGGGAGCAGGAATATGGCAGAATGAGGCCAAATACCTTTGGTGGGAGTTGGGGGGGCAGGTGGTTTTTTTGTCTTATCTTTAGGTCAGAGTGGGGATAAGTCTCAGGCTTTACCTGGTTCCTCTCATCATTTTGTCAGGAAGCCCTGGAAAGGTCAGTGGACTGGCCTGGGCACACATGTTCCCAACCCTGTGGTCCTTTCTTGCCACGCTGCCTTCTCTCGGTGGGCGCAGGAGCTGGGTGAGCTTTGTGAGCTTGGTTTCTGACCAGTGTGTTTCTTTCCCTGCTCAGGCTTTCTGTGATGATGCAGTGGGACTGAAATTCAACCCTGTCCTGTACCCCAAGGTGAGGAACTCTCTATTCCCCCTTGCTCGTTATCCAGGGCTGTGTAGCTTGGCATGGATTTGCACACCTATGACTCTGCATCATGGTGGGGTCTCCATGAGAAACCTCCACGACTCCCTCTCTCCCTGCTTACTCCTTCACACACTGGTCCCCTGGGAACACATCCTTAGGTATGCCTGGGTCTCCAGCCCAGCTGAATAGGTCTCTAGCGAAGAAGGTGGCAGAGGTAGCAGTTTTATAGGTTTTCCACGGCACTCCAGTTGTACCTTCATGAGGTCAGTGCTGGGGTGAGACTCCGGGGCTGGTACAGATCCAAATTGCTATCATGGAGGGGTGGGGGGATACAAAGGGCAGAATCTCACTAAGAAATAAAAGGCCAGACCTTGGCTCCCCATCGCCCACATTACTCTGTGAGCTCTGAGGTCTTACAAGCCCCTCTTGGCCTTAGTTAATAAGCCAGCTGGTTCTCTGTTATCAGTTTCTTAGGATTGGCCTGATCTTGACCCCAGTTTTGATATGGTGGTGTGAGTAGAGAGAGGAGCAATAATAACAAAACGAACAACAAACTCACTCAAGAACGATTATGGCATGACAGGACTTAAATCAGCCACGAACAGAGAATTGCTTAAAATTGGCCACAGGAAAAGACCTCGGGCACCAACTGCCTTCTTCATGAGCCAGTAGGGCCTTGAGGGAGAGAGTGGAAGTGGAGCTGTGATCTGAGCTTCCGCTGTGGCCAACGTGGTGACAGCTGAGGCTTGCTGGGGCTGGCTCTGTCTAGTCCCTGAGTCCCAACTCTGAAAACCAGGAGCCATGAAATGAAATGTCTGGGGATAGTGGGGAGTGTGTGTGTGGAGAAGAGAGGACCCCATCCTGGTAGGACCAGAGAATTTAAGGCATTTTTAAATTTTTCAGCCTCCTGGAATAAATGCCCTAAATGTTCACAACTGGACACTCTTAGAAGCATCTATTTATTTATTCATCTGCAGTGGCTGAGCTAGTGGCAGAGTCCTCTATCTCACCAAGCCCTTCTTCTGGATGCCTCTTTTTACAATCTGTAGAAACTTACCAGTAATATGCTGTGCTCCACTGAACATTTTCTGTCATTCAGACTGACCTCCCTTTATGATTAAAGCTGAATTAGTGAGGTTTAACCACACATTAAAACCCCATCATAAAGGCCTAACTGAACTACTGGTTGGGTAATTTTTGTTGTCAGATCATATCCGCTGTGAGAGCCCAGTGATGTACATTTACACAGTTCTCTTTATAACTTGGAAAGCCTCCAGCCCTGGTAATGATTGAAAAGCAGCTGTATTTTCTTTTTTTTTTGTATTGGAGGGATTGCTGAAGTTCAACTGGGATGTTAGTCTGGCTGAGATGTTTGTGTTTAAAATTTGCAGTTTAGAATGTTTATTGGAAGGTCTCCATGGCCTAGTGCCTCTCCCTGAGAGGGCAGCTGTTCTTCCCCTTTGACTCATCCCAGGCGAGAATGGTGGACTCCCACAAGGGTCAGGCCAACAGGGCTCTCACTGGGGGAGCTGAGAAGTGTCTGTTTCCTCAGGCAGCTGAGAACCTCACAGAGATATACAGTGAGTGGCAACCTGACACTGGCTATATGTTCCAGCCAACAAGTTATACCTGCTTTGTTCTTCCGTTAGCACAACACATGGATGAATCCTTTTTTTTTTGCAGAAGGTATCCCAGTAGCGCCCAAATATACTTCTCTTTCCTGACAAGCTGATTCAACTCTTTCAGGAGGGTTGCACAGATGATGGTGATTCTGATGATGATGATGATGATGATGATGATGTTGATGGTGATGATGTTGTAGCTGCTCTGAGCTCAGCACTTTACGTGCCTAGTCTCTTTGAATCTTCATAACTACACATCTCCCTTTAACGGAAGAGAAACTGAAGTCCAGAGAAGTGAAGTGACACTCTCAAAGCTACATGGATAAAAGCAGCAGATTCAGAACTAGAGTTGAGTATTTCTGACCCAGACATCAACTCTAGGAGGAAAAATAGAAAATCTAATAGAACTTATGGTCAGGTTTTCCTTTTTCTCTTCTGTTTGCTTTTTATTGGAGCATGTTCCTCTATACTGCTCATTTTATGAAGAAAAGGATTGAAGCCTGGACAGGAGCAGGTGGAATTAGAGCTAGAGCCATCCTTCCTGAAGAGTTTTGGGGTTCTGGCTTCACTTTTTACACCACAGATAAAATACTGGGGTATTTTATCCTGAGTCCCACTGGCTACTTAATTGCCCAAGCCATGGCTGGCACACCTGGATGAGAATGGAATGGATGTTACAGAGGATTGGTTACTACTGGGGAAACTCAGGTGTTGGGAACTAGCTGAGACCTTTGGAGTTGCATCCTTATCATCTGCTTTTTTAGCAGGGGGCATATTCTCTACCAAAATGAGTGCTTCCCCTTCCATTTGCATCTTCACTTACTTCCACATGAATAAAGTTGATTTTTTTCCTTCCTACCTTTTTCAGGCCTCCCAAATGATTGTGTCTTATGATGAACATGATGTCAACAATACATTCAAATTTGGAGTCATTTATCAAAAAGCCAGACAGGTAAGCACCATGAATCCATACTGGTCACCATCTCCTATGGTTTCTCTTTTTTTCTCCTAATCTTAATGCAGGATCCCTGAACTAAGTTCTTAAAGCATTCTGAATACAACTATCATATTTAAAGTGTGAATTGGACTGGAGGTATCAGAATCTTCAAGTAGTGCTACTTCTTACAAAAAGGCCTGTAAGTCTTGTAAAACATGGTGTAGGTTTTCACACAGTGAAGTCTGATTCTTCTTGGCTGAATTTGTGTTGATCTCAATTTGTGTTTATCTATGGGTTGCTAGTCACCAGAAAAACCAAACTAGGTAGAGTGAACAGATTAGCATAATCTTATCTCTTCTTGCTCACTATTCTCCCAGCTGGGAATTAGCTTTTTCTCTCTAAACTTCAGCTTTGTGCTGGAATCAGTTATGGGCATCTCTTCCCAACTCTGTGTTCAGTGATATCATGTTGGTAGCTTGAAATCAGCCATGGAAGTATTTACACCATGGAAATTAGCAAGCCCCAGAATTTTAATTTCTTCCTTTGGAAAGCTGGCCCACCACTGTTACCCTCCTCTGTCTTTTGTAGCACTCACTTATAGCTTTGGAGTTAATTGGCCCAAATAATGTTTCTCAGAGTGTGATTCCATGAGACATTGGTGAAGTATTCTGTGAGCAAATGACTTGGAGCAAGGGGTATCTGGATGTAGGAACATTTTAAAGGCTCTCAGAACCCCCAAGGTAAAAAAATTCTTTTTTAATTTTCTTGAGCCCATTACTTCCCATGCTTATTTGACCACAAACTTCCCATATTTCCTGTTTTTTACCATGAACATTTACTAACATCCTGGCAAGACAGTCAGATGGACATGCTGGTCTCCTCACCTAGGTTCTATGAGAAGAAGTTTCTGCATCTTATCTTTGTGTCATCCAAGAGACTGGCATGGTGACTTTATATAAATACACTCAGTTGTTATATGAATTAATGAACAAATGAAAATTTTGGTGCTGCTAAGGGCAGCTTTATAATGTCCTCCAATTTTATCTTTTTTTTTGCATATCAATCTTTCTTGGCCGGATGATGGCTGATTTCCTCATCTAAAGATATTAGACCACAAGAGACATGTGTTTGCTTCAAAACACTATAATTATGTGAAGAGTTAGGATCTGAAAGACCAACACTGATGAATCTTATAATTTAAGGGAGATTATTCAGGTAGCCACTCTCATTATTTTCACATATTACATTTTTATTTCTTACAACTTGGCTAATGTAACCCCCCTAATTAAAGTTCTTTGCTTGTGAAATTTACCAAAACAGATCTTAAGGTGATTACAACCCAATGTTCCAGCAAAGTTATAATTACTGAACATTAGCCATCCACCTCTGAGAAGGAGCCTCTGTGTTGTTTGTGTACCTGCTGCTGCTGCTGCGGGGGAAAAAGCCAGGAAGATAAAATTCTGTTTTTTTTTTTTTTTTTTTTAAATCTAGTCAGATTGTTGTTTTGCAAACCTACAGCTGGGGGACATTTAATATGAACATTTGTTGCATAAAAACCCTGTGCTGGTCTTTGGATATAAATATGCTTCACCCAACTCTGCTGTGTGTCATGTACTGTGCTAAGCACTGTGGGAGACATGGCGATGACTAAGATCCCCTCCTTGAGTACATGGTCAAGCTCAAGGCCAGTATAAAAATAATGACAATGCTAATAATACCAGACAAGGTGTGAATCCTGGACAAGAGGTGCATGCCCCGGAACCTACAATGAGTTGTTTTCTTGGTAGGAGATGTAGATTTCCCTGAAGCAGCAGCTCTCACACTCAGACCCCATGACCCAGGACAAACAGGATGCTTGGCTGGAGTTGCAATGTCTTCATGCCATGCTAAAGACTGGTGAACAACAAACTTTTCATTAAAGATCCAGATAATAGATTTTTAAAACTTTATGGGCCTTGGAGTCTCTGTTACTACCACCCTACTGCTTTTATTGTGCAAAATCAGCCAAAGACAATATGTAAATGAGTTGGCCTGGCCATGTTCCAATAAAATTTTATTGATTAAAAAAAAGAAGTGGGCCAGGCTTGGCCCATGGGCCATAGTTTGCTGACACCTGCTAGAAAGCTGTGTTTCCAAAACTTCTGATATTCACAGACCACATTTAGGATCTACATTTATGGCACTTATTTCACCAGAGGCCACTGTTAAAATTTTTAACACACCCCTACTATTAACCACTAAATTTTTTTTCTTATAAAGTTTTTTTTTTTAAACTAAAGTGTTTTTATTTATTTGTTTTTGGTGGTACCAAGGATTGAACTCTGGACATTGCTCAAACTAGGCAAATGCTCTACCACTGAGCTGTAACCCCAGCCCTTAGTGCATTTATTTTTTTTAAAGGAAATTCTAGATCACACTCCTCTAATTGGAAAACCAGTATCACTTGCCATGAAATCAAAGTAATTCTAAGAGGAAATACTATTAACGAACAAGTAGAGTTACTGAAACCTACTAGATTCTGTTGCCTGTTGAAGACTTGGAATCTGAGGTCTGCTTTTATTAGTTACAAAGCAGGCCTAAGTGGGGCTGGGGGTGTAGCTCAGTGGTACAGCACGTGTTTAGCATGATCAAAGACTTGGGTTCAATCTCAAGCACTGCCCCCCAAAATAGGGGACATTAAGGAGTTATTAAAGAATTGCCTATGGGAGACTGTCCTTGAAGTGATTGGACACACTGATTTTTTTTTTTTTTTATATGAAGCCATTCATTGCAGTCCATGGCTGTTTGCAGAGCCTTCAGCTGTTTGCAGGTCCTGCTGCTGTGGGCAGAAAACAGTAGTAACAAGTTGCTCATCAGATAGGGTTAGTCAGTTGTTAAAGCCTAACACCATTTGCAGAGCTTGCTACTGTTTTCAGCTTTGCCTTTTTTATAATGTATTTTTTAATTGTTAAACTTCTTTTCTTGGGGTGGGGGGTAGCAGGGATTGAACTCAGGGGCACTCAACCACTGAACCACATCCCCAGCTCAATTTTGTATTTTATTAGAGACAGGGTCTCACTGAGTTGCTTAGTGCCTCGCCATTGCTGAGACTGGCTTTGAACTCTAGATCCTCCCGTCTCAGCCTCCCGAGCCACTGGGATTACAGGTGTGCACCACTGTATCCAGCAATTGTTACACTTCTTAATTTTAGATATTTGTGGATTCACATGTAGTTGGAAGAAAGAGCTCATGTCTCTTTTACCCAGTTTTCCCCAAGGTCAAGGTCTTACACAACTACAGCACAAGATCACAACCATTGACACAATCCTCAGATATTATTCAGATATCCACAGATAGTATTCAGATATCCCCAGTTTACAGGTACTCATTTGTGTGTGTGCATGCACGTGTGCATGTGTATTTGATCTGTTTTGTTCTGTGTCATTTTATCCACCTGTAGGTTCCATAGTCAAGAAACAAGAATTTTGTCACCACAGGGCTCTCTCCTATTTTCCTTTATCACCATGCTCACCTCCCTCTCACCTCTCCTCTCCTCCCTCACTCTGGTCCCTAGCCCCTAGCCATTTGCAGAGCGTTGATCTGTTCTCCAGCTTCAAAAACTGTATTCCAAAAAATTACACAAATGGAGTCATACAGTACGTAGCCTTTTGGGGTTGCTTTTCTCTGCTCAGTAGCATTTGTCCAAGTTCTTGAGTGTGTCACTAGTTTGTCCCTTCTTATTGCTGAGTAGTTTTCCATGTCTGGCTGCATTAGGGTTTGTTTAACCATTCATTCATTGAAGGACATCTGGGTTGTTGCCAGGTGTTGGCTATGAGGAATAAAGCTACTATGAACATTTGTATACAGCTTTTAGTTTCATTTGAATGCAAGTTTTCATTTCTCTGGAATAAATGCCTAGGAGCACAATTGCTGGTTGTATATGGTAATTATATGTTTAGTTTGTAGGAAACTGCCAAGCTCTTCTTGAGTGGCTGTTCCCACCAAAAAAATGTATGAGTGATCCAATTTCTCTATATCTTTGCCAGATTTGGTGTTGTCACTATTTTTTTTTTAATTTGAGCCATTCTGATAGGTGTGTTATGATATCTCATTATAGTTTTAATTTGCATTTCTCTAGAGGCTAACTATGTTGAACATCTTTTCATGTGCTTGTTTGCCATCTGTGCATCCTCTTAGGTGAAATGTCTGTTCTTTTGACCATTTTCTCATACTGTTGAGTTTTAAGTTTTCTTTATAATAGCTTTATTAAGGTATAATTCTCATGCCGTGTAATTCACAGAAGCGTGTGAGTTGTATTTTCATCAAGTGATTTATAGTGTAATCACACAGTGGTACGGCAGTCTAATTCTGGGATATTTTCATCACTTTCCAAAGTGACTCTCCCACCTTGTTACCTTTAGTTCCTGGCAGCCACTAATCTACTTTCTATCCCTGTGAATAGAAAGTACCTTTTGTAAGAGTCTGTACCTTTTGCAAGAGTTCCTTATTTATGGCTGGATATTCCATGGTATGAATATATCACATTTTTAAATCCGTTTATTGATAGATATTTGGGTTATTTCACTTTGGGGACATGTTACATGCCACTACTATTAACATTCACGCACAAATTTTTGTGTGGTCATATGTTTTCATTTCTCTTGGTTACTCACCTAGGAGTGGAATTGTGGTCATATAGTACCTCTATGTTTAGCCTTTCTGAGAAACTGCCAGACTGTTTTCCAAAGTAGATGCACCATTTTCTCTTCCCATTGGCTATTTATGTGGGTTCTGATTTCTCTACATCCTTACCAACACTTGTTGTCTTTCCTTTTTAATCATAGCCATCGTAGTGGGTGTGAAGTGGTATCTCATTGTGGTTTTTGAGTACTGTTGTGTTATGATTGTTCTTTCTATGTTTTTGATACTAGCTCTTTGTTGGGAGTCCAATTACCAAATTTTCATTAATGGATCATGTTTTTGGTATCAGGTCTAAGAACTCTTTGCGTTAGTTTTGCCTTTTGTACTAACTTTTGCTCAAATAGAAAGGTCTCATTAACCAGCTGCTAGGATCCAGCTCTGTGGAGTGGTTCTCCATTAGCTCATCCTTCAGTTGAGGATGGCTGTGGTGAAATGTATTGGGAGTCAGGGAAGAAGAAATAAAGGGACCAGGTATGTGGCAGCCCTTCTTTTGGCACCAAGATGGTGTTTTTTAAACTTCTGTTCCTGTTTCTCTTTAAGACCCTGGAGGAGGAACTATTTGGGAACAATGAAGAGAGTCCTGCTTTCAAGGAGTTCTTGGATCTGCTAGGGGACACAATCACGCTGCAGGACTTTAAAGGGTGAGTTTTAGCCAAGGGATTGCTGTAGTCCCATTGGTGAGGCCCTAGCAGAAGAGCCAGGGGCAGACAGCTCAGTCCTCAAGGAGCACATGTGAGAGTTAAAACCACACCCAAGGAAGATGAGACTGTTTTCAGCATCTGATCAACCCTCACTTATCTGCATTCCTAAAGAATCAGTGGTCCAAGGGATAATTAGCATGGCAGGTTATCTGAAAGGCATTGGCATTTGGCTTTAGGATGTGTGCTGGGAATGCTTCCTCTGAGATTTTCCTTCCTAATTGCATTTGACTCAGACTGTGAATGAAATGAATCCACCTTTCCTACCTCTCACCCGCCAGGCAAGAGTTCCCTGTGCAATTTGGAAGGAAATGACCCCTTTCAGATAATACATAAAGAGTGGGTAATTAAGAATCCATGTAAATATAATCTCCCCATCCCAGGAGGAGTCTATGCATCAGTGTATGGGTCTTTAAGTGGACAGAAAGATTAAATATTGGTGCTATTGCTTGGAAGGTTCTGGCTCTTGGTTTTCCTTGGCAAAAGCAACATTTGGGAATATTTCAGACCTGGCCAGCCACGAACTTGGTGTGTGGCTGTGGGTCCTAGAATTCACACCCCTCTCCCACCTCAGGAGTGAAAATAGCGGGCGCTACAAACATCATATGTAAAAACACCTAGCCCAATTGCCTGGCATGCAGTAGGTGTTCAACAATTGCTTTCTTCCTCTTTTCCCTTTCTCCCTTTTCTTAATATTTTTTCTTCTTCGAAGTCACCTGTGTTAAAATCCCAGCTCTGTCGCCCACTAGCTCTAAGACTTTGGGCAAGTGACTTTACCTTGGCAAGCTCCAGTTACCTCATCTGTAAGAAGGGAAATAAAATACTGACCCCACAAGGATGTTGGGGGATTAAAATAGTGAATGCATTTGGAACAGTTAGGCTAGTGCCACACACTGGTCATCATTATTGTTACTGTTCTGATTTTGCCGACTTTTGTGGACTTTGAGATAGCATCACTATAAGAGGTATCCTGATTTTGGTGATATTAAAATGCTAAAATCATGGGTCATAGAATGGATGAAATACATTATACTAATCCCAGAAAGATCCCTTCATGTTATAGAAAAAGGAAACTGAGACCTGGAAAGATTAAGTGATATGCCCAAGGTCATAAGCTGACTTAGCGCCAGAAGCAGATTTAGAACCTGAAATGTCCACCAGCCCATCCAGCATCCTTTTTGCCACACTGGGCTGAGCACATTTTCTGCCTGGTAGTAAGTACTGGGATATTGACGTCCAGGGACCATCTTATTTCATTTTCTTTAGGGAACTTGCATCTGCATTTTCTTCCCCTTGCTGAAGAATGTGGTCCAGGGCTAGCAGCTATTATTCTGTAAAGGCAGAAGGGACAGATCTTGGAAGCCCACCTAGTTCCTCCATGCTTTTTTTTTTCCTGCCTAAGAATATGCAGCTTGAGAAGGGACCTTCCTGGATATCCTAAGTTGGGTGCTGCTGCAGCTGGGCCTCTACATCAGGGACTAGCTAGGTACAAGCCAAGCATCTGTCATCTCTCCTGGCTGACTCCAGATGCCATTGTGGGGCTCACCATCATCCAGCAGGGTGGCTGGTTGCCCTGGCTCTGGGAAGATGATTTGGATATAGCCTTGCAGAGAGCAAAAGGCTGTGCCCAGCCTTGGGGGCCACTGGCAGCTGGGATGGACATTTGTCTGGGATCTTGGACAAAAGGCCTCCCTTCCCCACATGACCAGTGGTGCATGGGGGACACAACAAGGCTTGGGTTGGAGGTTTTACCTTTTTATTTAGACAACAGATGTCTGGTTAGAACTCCAGGCTAGTCTTCTCAGAAGAACACCCTTCCCTGCTCTCCCCACCTTGTTCTCTCCTTTGCCCTCACCTCCTCCCTCAACTCTTCCATCTACCCTCCAGCTGCCTCATAACCTTAGGGGAGTTTGCACCACTTTGCCTGCTTCCCCTCACTCTTTCTCTCCTGCTCCTGCCCTGTTTTACTGACAGTTTCCGAGGAGGCCTGGATGTGACCCACGGACAGACAGGGGTGGAGTCAGTGTACACAACCTTCCGGGACCGGGAGATCATGTTTCACGTCTCCACAAAGCTGCCATTCACCGAGGGTGATGCCCAACAGGTAGCCTGGTTTTGGAGGATTCTGGGCGCTTGGGTATGCCCCTTGAAGGCCCAGCTCCTGGGCTGACCTGCCTGGGGGATGGTCAGGGGGCTTTCATTTGTGTAACTAAGAGGACAATCTGTTCAGCATCCCGGGTCACAGCCTGTTCTCTTGTGTTGTCTCACCAGGGTGGCACCTCAGCAATCCAGTGCAGGAGGCAGGCCAGTGCTCCTGGGATTCCCTCTTTGACAGCTGGGGAAACTGCAGTCCAAGGGCAGGCCCTTAAGAGACTTTCTTGAGGGCTGAGGGTGTAGCTCAGTTCTAGAGTGGGGACTTATGAGGAGGTCCAGGGTTCCGTTCCCAGCACAAACAAACAAACAAACAAACAAACAAAAAAACACCTCCTTAAGGTTTCACAGTCAGGGAGGGGCTGAGCTGGAGGCAGAGCCTGTGATCCTGATCATCTAGGGTGGAGATAAAGGGTGCATGACCCCATCTGCAGGTGGAGTCTTGAAACCAGCTGAGCCACTTAGAGGTGTGTGACTCTGGGCAACTGGTTACCTTTGCCTAATTTTTCTTCTCTGTAGAATGGGGACAGCAGCTCTATGTCAGAGAGCTGTTATGGGGGTCACATAACAGTTTCTGAATATAAGGCTGCTGCAGTGGATGCCTGGCATGTGGCCGCTCTCCTTATAACAGCTGTTCCTTACCCGGGCCACTAGTCTTTTTGCCTCCCTGCTGCCCTGGAGCTCTTACTGCATGAGGACCCCCCCACATCCCTCCTCGCTCTGCCCACCTGCCTGTGGGCAGTAATTCAGCCAGTACCCATGGACGTGTGTTACTAGCATTCGCTCATGCTCATTCATGTTTGCTGTTTTGACAGCCACACGTCTCTGGGGAGAGCCTTCCCTCTGAAAAGCAGCTGATCTTGGAGGTCGCAATGCTTCAGCCCTTTTTGGTCCCTTTTCTGTCTCTGGGAAAACAAGAAGGGCAGATGGGTCTTTGCCCAAACTCTGACCTATTTGTTTCTGAGCAGGGAACTGAGAGGGAGCAGAGAGGTAAAATTGTAAACATAGTGCTGGCTTCTTAGGAGAAAAAGGAAATTGGCAAATGAAATTATGATTTGGCTCTCAAATAACGACTGAATGTTCCAGAAACAAATGGGAGCAGGATTCCTTTTGTATCCAGAGTGGGCTTTCTCTCGGTGTCACCTTCAGTCTCTGCTCCCTCCTGGTTCCCCTCACCTGCTGCCCCAGCCTGGGGCTTTTTCTCGCAGGCCACTTCAGTCTGACATATGTTAATTGGGAAGTGTACCTTGGCATGGAGCTTGGCTCTTGGCAGGGACTGAATAAATATTAGTTTTTCTCTCCCTAAGAAATGGGAGGGTATGTGTGGAATGAGATAATTTGCATAAAAGTGCCCAGCACAGTGCCCGGGATATGGCAGATGCTCAGTAAATGAGAAACTCCATATAAAAGGGATGAGCATAGGGCCTGCATATAGTAGGTGCCTAATGAAGGAACAAATGTGTAGGTGTACAGGAGGACTTTAGCATTTGAAATCATGCACGTGAATAGCCCAACACAGTTCTTGACCCACAGTAGGTGCTTAGTGACCAAAATCACACGCAGTAGGTGCTTAGTGACCAAAAGCACCTGTCACCATTAAGGAAACCAAGACAGGTTTGGGTTTCTGTCCTCTATTCCCCTCTTACAGCCAGGTGACCAGAGCCCCTTTAAGCATGGCTAGCTCTCTTCTGGTGTAATGCACCACCCACTCATCCGGCCCCACCTCCCATCCACATTTCTATCCAGACTCCCCACATCATCTCCTCTTCCAGGGAGCCTTCTCAGGTTGCTAGCAGGCCCTTAGATTATCCTGCCTCTCTATCCCCAGAGCTGTGAGGCACTTCATGTGCAGCAGCCAACTTAGCACTTGCTGACTGGCAGCTTTGTTAGGGTTCTCAGGTGGTTCTGCCTAGATCAATTACAGCTCTCCTGGGGCCAGACCCAGCCTCACCATTTTTCTTCTTTTGTGTGTGGTACTGAACCCAGGGTTGCTCTACCTCTGAGCTACATCACCAGCCTTCACCCTCCGACCCCCTCCTTTTTTTGCGGGGTGGGGGTAGGTCTCCAAAGATGGCCTCAAATTTGTGATCCTACTGCCTTGGCCTCCTGAATAACTGGATTGTAGGCATGTACCACTGCACCGGGCTCCCGCCTTACCTTTTAAATATTTTCTCCTGGGTCCTGAGTTAGGGCTTGGCACACCATCAAGCTCAGAAACATGCTTACTGGCTGCTACCTAACAACTTGGGCATCTTTCCCGTTCTTTTCTTACTGGTGGCTTTTAAGGATTGAAAGAAGCTCCCTGGAGAGCTAGGTCTCAGAGCTGTAGGGTTTACATACCAAGGAAAAACTTATGGGGAATTTCTTATACAGATTTTTCTGTTTTCAGGATGTTCCTTACTGGCTTGTAATGATGGAATACTTTTTGTTTAGCTCCAGAGAAAGAGACACATTGGGAACGACATTGTGGCCATCATCTTCCAAGAAGAAAATACACCATTCGTCCCAGATATGATTGCCTCCAATTTCTTACATGCCTACATTGTTGTGCAGGTCGAGAGCCCAGGCACAGAGACCCCATCTTACAAGGTAAGGGTAGGCCTGGCTGGAGACAGTCACTGCCCAGATGCCTCCCCGCATTTTGTGGACTCACAACATCAAAAGTCACAAGTTGTCAACAGTATTGGAGTTCCGTGAGTTGCCAGGTTGCTGGGGTCTGAAGCTAGACTCTTGGTGGAAAGCACCTTCCAGGTTGTTCCACCCATTTTGCTGCCTGCAGGCTCTACAGCTTCCAACTTGAGGGTCCAGAAGCCCGAAATGTCATATTTAGAATGCAGTGATGTCCTGGGCTAGAATATGGCAGAACGCGAGGGGAGAAGGTGAGAGTGGAGAGGACGTCAGGAAAAGGGAAAGGTGTAGCAAACAGAGGGAAGAAAGAGAAAGGGGGCATGGGCGTGGTAGACCCTGGCCCTCTGGTCTGGCCATTCTAGACCCATGGGTGATCTCAACTTGAAGACTTTAGGGAGGCAGGGATGCAAGACCCCTGTTAAGTGTCCTGGCCAGTGAGTGGCAGGGAAGATGGACTCATGGTCTTCACTAGTGGGAATGGGGCAGACACAGAGCAACCCATTGTTCTGACAGCCCTCCTCTACCCACTCCTGATGGCTGCCTTCCTCCTGTCCATGAGTAACAATCCTGACCTCCCGGACAGCATTTTCACCATGTCATGGTGGTTCCAGGGGTATGGGACCTGAGGGAGAGAGGCTGAGGCAGGGTTTTTAAGGTATCAGGTAGTCTTGGCATGACATGCCCTCCCTACTCCCAGCCACCCGCCTTCCCTTCTCAGTGCCTTGGCACTAACTGCTATTGGTGCACTTTTCTGCATTTTCTGGGAAGAGAGGCCCCAGATCAAATTCTCATAGGGCTCCCTGCTCCAAAAAATGTTGGGAACCATCATTCTCTGGAAGAGGAGAAGAAATGAGCCTGTCATTGCTAACGGGAGATAATGAGGCCTGGAAATATTTCCTAGATAATAACTTAGGTCAGTGCTGATTCCTTGGGTTCTCTGCCATAGCATGTCATGGCCATCTTTATAAATATTAATTTTGGTAGGTACGGTTATGTTACTCTTACATCAGTGCAAACATAGATGTATTGAGTGCAAAATTCCCACTGAAATTTAAAACCAAATGTGAGACTTAAAAAAAAAAAAAAGAAACAAAGAAAAGAAAAAGCTAACAAAAAACAAATCCCTCCTGTTGTGATGAGCTGATTTCCTTACATGGGCATGTTTATGTTTCTCTGGCGTTGAGTAATCTTAGCTGCAAAGTTGGAGCAGCCGTGGTGTGGCCATTTCCTAGAAAGCTGTGGGGTCACCTGCTTTGACTGAAATGGGCATTCTTGTCACAGCTGCTTGATGAATTTGTCGGGGAAAGTGAATTTACTCATTCAGTGCCCCACCGGGTGCCATCATGTGCCATTGGCATCATGCTGGGGTGGGGAACAAGGAAGTGACATGCAGAATTGCCCTGCAGGTCCTGGCTGACCCTAGACAAGGGATGGAGGAGCCAGTGAGTGTAGTTCAGCCACTGGGCAGCTCAGATAACCAACTGGTTCTTTTAACAGCCCACCAAGGTGGAAGAGCTGTGGAGAAAGAAAGTCTGGAAAGAAAGTCATCTGGATGTGGCTTGTCTGATGGCTTCTTGTGGACGTTTAATATTTGCTTTTTATTCCTTATAGAAGATGGAGCTCAGATAACTGGCTTCTCTACTTTCTTAAAAAAATTTTTTTAAAAGTTATAGATGGACACAATACTTTTATTTTTATGCAGTGCTGAGGATTGAACCCAGTGCCTCACACATGCTAGGCAAGTGCTCTGCCACTGAGCTACACCCCCAGTCCCTGGATTGCTTCACTTTCCCAAGAGCTTAGTGTAGGGGTGCATCCATACAGAGAAAAACCAGAGATCCAGAAGCCACCACTCTCCTCTAGCTTCGGTGCTGGGAGTCTTTACCCAGTTTTTCAAGTCACAGTTTGGGATCCAGGGCAAAGCACTGTCTTCAGAAAAGTGCAGAGTTGCAGAGGAGCAGGGCCAAGCCCTTGGGACAAGGAATCTTCACCTTGTATTTCATCTGCCTGCTGGATTTGCTGGTGGGAATGGAGCCAGAGAGGCAGAGGGCAGGAGAGAGACCAGCCTTCCAAGGCCCTCCCCAGTATGCTGCCTACCTGCACCCCAGCAGCAGCCTGGGTGATATGTGGGCTGTGAGGAAAACCTGGTTGGACCCCTCAGGGTGTCCAGGTGAAATGGGACCCTAGCTGACCCCTGAAGGCTTAGGGGCTTTGCAAAGGAGGGGGGAATTCCTTAGGGACTGAGCAAGGAGTCCAGAAGGCCTGAGCTACAGGAAAGAAGAGGTGGGAAGGATGGAAGTGGAAATGTGCAAGGAAGGTCCCCAATCAAAGTAGACTGGGGTTCTTGTTCTGGCCCTGACTCTGATTACTGTGTGACTTTGGGTCAGTTCCTTCCCTCTCTGGGCCTCAGTTTCTATCCGTGTGAAATGAGGAAGTTGGACTAGGTGCCCTGTGAGCTCCTTCCAGCACTTTCTCTTATTAGTCTGATGTTATAGAGAGAAGATTGAGGCTCAGAGCTTAGGCCATTTAAGGCTGAGGCCACAGAGCCAGGGTGCCATGGAGCTGAAATTTCTGCTCAGTCTGTCTGAAGCCATCAGAGCCGGTGGGAAATTGATTCCACAAATTCAGGTGTGCAAAAGTCACATGGGAATATTTTTAGGTAGGAATTTAGTTCCCATCTCACCAGATTAGAAGGAAACTCTAGCTCAGCCATCAGTAGGACTCCTTCCTCCTCTTTAGGGTCACCTCCCCCTTTCTGAAGTCCAGCGAGGGTTTCAGGAATCTTCTGTGGAGCAGATCACTGGGGAAGCCCTCCCCTTCCCATCCCAACTCTTGTTGCTTAAACAGCCCTCTAAGGCGGCAGGCCACACCTGGGCATGGGGACTTTGTCAGGTTTCCAGTGCTCAGATCCGCACCTCCCTGGTGCATCCTCTTGACCTCTACGCCTGAGCTTCTTCCGCTTTCCAGCCTTGAAGATGCTCTTCCCCAGGGCACCTGCAGCCTCTGTGACCTCTGGATTTAGAAACAGGAAGGGGAGGAGGGGCTATGTTCAGGCAACTTCTGCTTTCAGAAGCAACATCCCCAAGAGGAGGGAACCACAGAGACCAGGCTGTCTCATTGGAATGGGGTCAAGAGGGGGACAGGCTGAGAATGAAAGATGAATGGATGTCACCAGGGAGGCTCCTGCCCCTGTCCCCTGTGTTTCTGACCACTGTTGCAGTGGGCTTCTCTGTTAGGAGAAGTTTTAAGGGTATCTGGATTTAAGGCATATCTGAAAACACCCTGTCAGCACAGACCACTCTAATGCAGGCCCTAGAAGGAAGGGGGACCAGGTAGGGTGGGGGCCACTGGGCCTGCTTCTTTCCTTTGTCCCAGGTATCCCGGATGTGTGTAGCCCAGTCCAAATTCTGGCTCTGTGGGTAGAATTCTTGACTTGGGCCACCAGTGCATGGTGGGTAGTAGTAGGGAACTGTATTTGGTAGCTGGAGCTCAGCCAGAAATCATGTCGGTGAACACATACCATTTCCTGACGCAGAAATTTGGGCTGTGCAGACAGACTTGAGTTTGGGGAGAGAAAGCCACTATTGACCTACCCTCTCTGCTTCCTCCCCTCTGGACCCTGGCAGGGCCTTTCCTTGGCTCTGCTCCGGGCTGCCTGCTCGCCCGGTCTGGCAGGCTCTTTGCATCTGCCCTAGTTCACAGGCCAGGGGGGCTGGCGGCAGGCCAGGGTCTGCTCACGTCAGTGGCTGCTGAGGCAAAGGAGCAGGCAGTGTCCCGAGAGCCCTGCAGCCTCTGGGGCTGAGAGCAGGTGAAACCAGGGCACCTACACTCAGAGGGGGTGAGGGAGGGGACCTGCCCCGATCATGGGCACCCTCCATGCAGAGCACCTGAATACTCTTGCTCTGCAGTTAGATATCACCGAGGCTGGCCCAAGCCTGGACATCCCCCACTTTTAATTCTCAGCCTGGGCCATGGAGATCTGTTAGGACAAGCCTCAGCCAGAATGGCTGACCCTGTGTATGGGGCCAGGGCTCCCAGACACAGGTCCATTGGCTATACAAAGCCTCCCAGGAATCCTGAGCTTCTCATATAATCTGCATTTACTTTGTAAACACTGGAAGTGAGTCTGATGTATGGCTGGGTTTGGGAGACAGTATGGTGGGGAAGAACTAGAGACCTGATCAGGAGAGATCTGGAACCTTTGTTTCTCTCTGTGACTAATCACCTGTGTGACTTTGTGGGGCTCACTTCATGTCTCTGGCTTTCTGTTTCCTCATCATGAAAACGGGGGTAATAACTCTCCCTGCATCTTCTCCACGGGAAGAACATCACAACTGAATGAAGTCATGACACCTCCCAGACACTCGCATTGTGTTGTAATTGGGGTCCCTGCTGCTCATCAGCCCTGTCCAGTCATTCTGCCACACTTGCATCTGCCCCCTAGGAAGGCAGGGGAGAGGATGCGGATGGCTCCTCACTGTCCAGCCCCACTTCTAGGAGCAATGACTCGGCCTGTACTTCATTTGTATTCTGGGAAGGGGAGAGGGTAAGTGGATTGGCTTAGCTGGGCGTGGTGACACACCTGTTAATCCTAGCAGCTCAGGAGGCTGAGGCAGTAGGATTGTGAATTCAAAGCTAGCCTCAGCAACTTAGCAAGGCCCTAGGCAACTTGGCAAGACCCTGTCTCTAAATAAATAATAAAAAAAAAGGGCTGGGGATGTGGCTCAGTGGTTGAGTGCCCCTGGGTTCAATCCTTGGTAACCCTCCCCACCCCCCCCCCCCAAAAGTGTGGCTCCCTGAAAGGCAGCTCTGATCTCTTCCCTCCTGGCTCACATGTGACTCTTTCATTCAGGTCTCCGTCACTGCACGGGAAGATGTGCCTGCCTTTGGCCCACCTTTGCCCAGCCCCCCTGTTTTCCAGAAGGTAGGAAGCTCTTCTACTTCTCTCACATTTAAGAGTCCAGGTTTCCAGACCTACCTAGCAATGTTGGAATGGGCAGAATTTGGGCTGGGAACATTAGGGTGGCCATTTATCAGGGTGTGTGACACTGGAGTTGCCTGCCAGAGGAGGGATTTAATTTTAATTTTTGATTGGTACATTATAATTATACAAAAAAGCGGGATTCATTGTGATATATTTGTACATGCATATAACATATTTTGGTTGATATTATGACCCAGTACCTCTCCTTGATTCCCATTCTTCACTCTACTAGGAGTCTAGGGAGGGGTTTTTATGCCATGCTTCTGTCCAGGGAGCCTTGGGTGAGAATTGCCTTTCCTTGTGGAAGTGTCCCATGGAGGGCTGCTTTCTCAGGACCAGCTGGTTTCCAGAATGGCATATTAGCAGGTGGCTTGGCATGGGCTAGAAACGATCAGATGTCAGAAGGGCCCCTTCTTGGACTTTTCCAGATCCCCTTTACTGCCTGCTTAAGACTATAACTGAAGCCCTCTGGCAGTGGCTGAGGGTAGGAGAGTTCTGGACCATCTTGTCTGTTCCAGGGCCCAGAGTTCAGAGAGTTCCTGCTCACCAAGCTCACGAATGCCGAGAATGCTTGCTGCAAGTCGGACAAATTTGCCAAGTTGGAGGTGAGAGCACAGTTTCCAAAGGTCGTCTTCCTGGCCTGCTCTTAACCAGCTTCCCTTGGAGCTCTCCTCTTGGGCCTGTTCAAGTTGGGGAGCATCTTTGCCCTTCTAAGCCCTCGGTCCTGGGTTCATCATGGGAATACTTTCTTCTGGTGGATACTCCAGCTCTGTCAATCATTCACCCGTCTTTTATTGAGTACTTACTATATGCCAGGCCTTGTTCTGTTCCTTGGAATACAGGGATAAGCAAGACAGTTTTTGCCTTACAGAGCTCACAAGTTGGTGGGAGACAGTTTTAATATAACGTGTCAGCCCTAGGCCATGAGGAGCCAGCACTGCTTAGAGGACAGTAACTACTTCCGCCTTGGGGGGCACTGGGAGTGTGTGTTCAGGGAAGGCTTCCTGGAGCGGGTGGCTCTGAAGCCTCTGGATCTCAATATCTGATGAATCCTTTGCCAGGAGGCAAGAGTAGGAAAGGTTGTTATTCCAGGTATGGGGAACTTCTGAGTGAAGGCCACTCAGAGAAAGAGCATGACTCCGGGAGGCAGCCCCTGGGGGGTCCGCCATGCACTGAAAGAGGCTTCCCCGGGGGTTGGAGTGGTGCGGGCTCGGCTGCAGATGTGGTTGGGTCAGATTCAGAAGGGCTGAGAGCTAGAGGCAATGGGTACTAGAAAGTTCTTATGGAACATTTGATTTGCTTATTAGAGTGATTTTTTTTTTTGCCAGTGGTGAGAAGAACAGGCTGAAGGGGGCAAGGAACAGGAAGGGTGGTCAGTTAGAAGCAATTAACAGGAGTCTGAGATGAAGGAGACCATAAGAGGAAGTGGTTCCGAGTTAGAGTCAGGAAGACATGAAGGCTTGCCGGAAGTGCAGGTGGAGGGAAATGGAATGGTAGGGTCTCAAAGGCCTTTAGCTTGGGCTCTGTGGTGACATGGGGAAGACTGGGAGACTGTTCTGTTAGGACCTGTTGCTCTGGGGTGCCTGTCAAGGCCGAGTTGCTGAAAGAGCTTGTCACCATCTGTGCTAATGCGCCCCCTGGAGGCTGCACGCACAGTCCTGGTGTGAACATCTGACTGGAGAAGAGCCACGGGCAGGTGGGTTCATGAATGTGGAGCTTGGGCAGATGTCTGGGCTGGGAGTCACCTGGGTAGAACCGGGGAAGCAGTGGGATGACCCTGGGAGAAGGGAGCAAAGCAATGAGATGGGAGGGGGGCGCGCCCAGAGCATTTGCTGTCACAGCAGTGATTGTGAGCATGGAGCCTAGCTTGGCAGTAGGTCCACACTGGCCAGGATGCAGTGGCACAGTAACAGCCCTCAGGTTGGGTGTCTGTAACCCACAAGGAGAGGGCACACCTCTGTTGTCAGCCCCAGCTCCTCCACCCTCACCTTCTTCCCTCCTAGGACCGGACAAGGGCCGCCCTCCTGGACAACCTTCATGATGAACTCCATGCTCACACACAGGCCATGCTAGGACTGGGTCCAGAGGAGGACAAGTTTGAGAATGGAGGCCATGGAGGATTCCTGGAGTCTTTTAAGGTATGGAAACGGGGGTATCTGGGGGTTGCTATGACAGGGAGAGGTGAGGCAAAGAAAGGAAGTGATCTAAACCTATGGAGATTTTAGCCCCAAAGCCCTAGGGCCAGCTAGAAGAGACAGGACCAGGGGGGTATCCTAGATATTTACATAGAGAAGGGATAATAGGAGTGTGAGGGGTCAGGGTAGCCAACATCTTCTCCACCCTTCATTGGCTTGGATCATCTCCTGGCCCAGGAGTCTGATAAGCAGGGACAGGTAGAGAGCAGTCAGAGAAGATCCAAAGCCAGCAGAAATCGAGAACATTCCCACTTTCATCGGTCTCCTTCTGGGGTCAGGGTGCCCAGGGCAGGATGGCAGAAGCAAGGATATAAACACAAACCTTAGTGGTCTCCTGCAGCTGATGTGGGGTGTTGCAGTGATTCTTTCCATCTGGCAAGGCCCTGGGGACCTAGCTGGGCTCGTGGGATGGAGATACAGGCAAGTCCCTTTGGACCCTACAAAGGGAATAACTCTTTAATCAGAACAAGCTGCTAAAGGAAGCAGTAAGCTCTGTGTCGCTGAGCTTATTCAAGTGGAGCCTGTGCAGCCACAGAACTGGCACACAGGGCAGACAAGGCTCGTCATGTACTGGATGAGCCCTTCTTGGTCCACACAGCACACACACACAACCAACATGTGATTTGAGCCTGGCTGTAATCCTGTGTGGTCAGCTGGATGGTTATTTCTCATTATTTCCACTAACACACATGGGGACAGGCTGAGAGAGGCCATAGGGTAGAGCCTTGTTTCAAACCAAGTTTTCAGATTCTTAGGTCCAGGTCCTGCTGGATTGCCCATCAGAGAGTGGTTCATAAAGCTACCATTTTGGGGGAATTTTGTCTAGGTTAAGGTTAGACCTGCCTGCTTTCAGATCTTAGCTCTGCGTGGTTCTGGGCGAGATCTTTAAAGTCTCTGAGCTATAGTTTTCTTGTCAATGATAGAGGGATGATAAATTGGGTCACTGTCTGAGTTGTATGAGAATTCACAGAAACATTGACTACAACACTGTAAGTGTTCACAAGTGTAAGCTGTTATTATTACATGAAGTGAAAGCTTAATATACATTATCCTATCTTAAACCTCCAACTGCCCTCTGTTCCCTGTAGGGAAGGCTATTATTATGGGTGTAATAATTTTGGTATAATAATTCAGACTCAATTTTAATAATTACAGGTACAGTTTTATATATAAGGAAACTAAGACTCAAAGAGGCTAAATGATTTGTCCCAAGTCATCTGGAGACAGTTGAATTCAGGTCTCCTAGATTCCAAAGTCTGGTGCTCTTAACAGCTATGAGATACTCCCTCCTAGTTTCCGACTGTTAAGATTCCACCCACGCTGCCTGGGCCCAGGCAGGCCTGGGGTCAATCCCTCATTGCCTGGCTTGAACGCTGAGGGCAGGGCATGGCTCTGCTGGCCCTCACTGGAACCAGATGCTGAGATTCCTTATAAGGGTGGGGGAAGGAGCCAAGCTGCTTGCCTAGGCTGGTGGGAGATTCCTGGGGCATCTGTTTTAGTCCTGATGGACAGTGGCAGCCAGGGCAAAGTAGGAGAAATTGGGGGGATCGGGATGCAAGAAGGGTGAGGGAGAAAAGGAACAGGGGAGGAAAGAGGGAGCTGGGTTGGATAGCCCAGCTGAGGGAGGGGTGAATGTGCGACCAGGTAATAGGAAAACGAGCTTGGATCTGGAAAGGCAGATAAGCAGGGCCATTTAGAGATGTTTTTAAGGCTCTGGACTCTTCTGGAAGCTCTGCCCTCCTTCATATTAAGCATGTCGAAATGGTCTATATCACATAGGGTGTTAGTCAGCTTTGTATCACTGTGATAAAATACCTGAGAAAATCAACTTAAAGGAGAAAAGATTTATTTTGGTTCTTGGTTTCAGAGATTTCAGCCCACAGTCACCTGGCTCTGTTGATTCAGGGCCAGTGTTGAGGTGGGCATGGAGGAGAGGGTGTGGAGGAACAAAACTGCTCACCTCATGGCTACCAGGAAGCCTGGTGGGAGGATGTGAAGATGGAGAGGGAGAAAAAGGAGACAGGCAGGGGGAGGGAGAGGAAAGAGAGGTAGGGGACAGGATATACCCTTCCAGGGCATGCACACCCCTAGTGATCTACTTCCTTGAACTGAGCCCCATCTCCTACAGTTTCCACCAACTCCCAGTAATACATTCAAGTATGAACCCATCTGTGGATTAATTCATTGATGAGAGCAGAACCCTCATGATATGGTCACTTCCCTCAAAGCCCCACCTTGGATCATAGCCACTTTGGGGACCAAGCCCTCAACACATGAGCCTTTTGGGAGACATTCCAGATCAAAACACACAGTAAATGTAATTTATGTAGGACTAACAGAGTCGAGCTGAGGCTGATTTGCGAACATAATGTTGTATTTTGTACACATTCAATGAAACATTTGTTGCTTTAATTTTTGCAAGATTCTTTTTCTGTATTATAGTTAACGATTGTTTATTCATGATTTAAGTATTTTTGTAATCCGGAGAAGCTTGTAGGTTGTGGTCATTGCCCATGGCATCCAATGAATGAGATGGCCCAGTAGCTAAATATAAGTGACAGGTGTATAGGACAGTGGCCTGAGGAGGCCATTTCATCCAGTCCTCAGCCTCTGACTCTAGAAACTGTTTCTAGTTTTGCTTTTTTTTCCTTTCATGGGTGCATTAGGCAGGGTTATGGTGTTAGAATTGTTGGCATTCCTCATCAAGTTCCCTTCAACCTCCATAGGATCCCTCTTGAATGAAATGGTACCTGAAAATGATTCTAAGAAGAAAACTTGGATGTTAAATCTCCTTCCTGTCAAAGTCTTCGTCTTATTGGCTGATGTAACTTAATAGAGAAACAGGAACATAATTGAGAATTTTCAGGGCTGAAAGCTGCCTCGATCATTTATCTCTTCACCTGTCCCGAGGCTGCTCTTCCTCACCTTAGAGGGCCTTGGCCTGGTCTGTGCTCCAAGAAGCAGACCCACAGTGACCCTGGGTTGTGCTGCCTGGCACCTTGTGGCAGGGGGAGTGGTTTTTTTAAGTCTTGCTTCAGTTCCCCTGGCTGTGATTGAGGCTTTTCCTCCACAGTACTCAGACTTGTTGGTTTATGGACCTTTCAAATTGAGCTGCTTGGAGGTCTTCTCAGGACCCTGCCAGTTCTACCAACCCTTTTAAATTCTTTATTTAACTTAGATGATAACTTAAAAATACAAAAATTTCCAGTGATAAAGACTAAACTTTTGCAGCAATGACTCACAATGAAAAGATGTTTCTATGGAATAAGACAGGGAACATAGAATGGCACATTGTAGCCCGAGGTAGTCTGGGGACAGATTCCTGGGAATCTTGCAAGAACATTTTTTCTCTATAAAGAAGCTGTACATCATTCATCTTTGAAAGATATTGATCTCCAGAGTATTGTTCTCAAATGCCATTCTCAGCCCATGCCAGCTGTTGACAACAAGGTTTTGTGGTCTGTAATGAAATGAAAAGAAAAAGGGACGATGCTTGATGTATTCATGTGACATGGGCATAAATCACGTGTGTGCCATATTTGGAGAAACACCAAACTGGCCCAGCCTTCCATTGACCTCATCATATAGAACCAGAGGACAAGAGAGGACAGAACTGGGACCACGGCAAGCTGGAAGTTGTCAGGTTAATTTCTCCCAGCCTTTGAGGGACTGGGATTGTTAATGCATGGGTCTGACCTGACCCCTAGTGGCAGGAGAGGCCACACATATTCCTGGCCATGTCTCTATGGGGTCCAGGCAGTACCAGTGATAGTAGATGGAGCCCAGAAGAGCCCAGTCAGAATCCCCAGCCTTTGGCATCTCTACCCCCATCCTTTCCCTCATGAGACAGGAAGCTGTGGAGTCAGGATGGTCCCACTGCCTTTGTGGGGGTCCAGTAACAGAGAGCTCAGGCCTTGCACATGGCCCTGTTCAGCTCATGGCTTGGAACCATGTCTGTGTGAGTAGAGCTGTCAGCTTCTGTCCTGTTCCCGCCCTGCAGAAGACCTTGTGTCAGACCTAAGAATACTCCCCATTTGAGCCATCTCAGCAGGCAGGAAGTTTGTCTCCAGGGCTCTGTCTCTGTACTTGTCTGGTTCTGATAGGTGTGTCCCTCTTAGTGTTCATTTCCTTGATTTTTGCCCCTTAAGTTTGTTAAATGGAAATAATTCATAAAACCCACTTGCAAGGAGGTGAGGAGTGTGGTTGGCAGGGAAGGAAACTGATCCCTCTGAAGCCAATTGGCGCTCAATCTCGGGGTTGAGATAAAGTGATATAATGGGCGATAAGAAAGCAATGCCATCTCCCTAATCTTACTCCCCAAAGGATAACTTGCCCAAAGGTGAGAAGGGAGGTGAGTGAGGGCAGGGATATCACAGTGACCTCGGGATGTTGATGAAATTGAAGATGATTAGCTGGGAGGACAGCAGTTTGAGGACAGTAACGGGCAATCGTGTGAAATAACCAATAGGCAGGTCCAAGACTCTAACATCTAGGAACTTATGTAAGATTTCAGCTTGGCACTTCCAAAGGTCAGGCCATCCCCCACTAATACAGGCAGCTTTGAAGGCAGTGAGCAGCTGTCCCTGGAAGATGCAAGTGGAGGGTACAGGAGCTTTGCCAGAGTGGGATGAGGGGCTGAGTGGGAGACAGTCCTCCTGGTCCCTGGAGCCCTCCTAAAGATGTGCAAAGGCTTCATGTGCCTTTCCTCTCACCTGCCTTCCTCTTTCCATAGCTGCCACCCTCCTTTCTCTTTTTCCTGTTTCTCAGACTCTCTGGCCAGTTTGGAAGGCCAGTGTGTTGATCAGTTGTCCATTAGATTGAAATGTGAAGTTCTTAAGATCATGTCCCCGAGAAGTTTCATTCAAAGCAAGCTTTATTTTAGGGCTTTGAGGTAAACTGTCACCTCTCTCTCACTAAGATTGGGACAGGAAAGCTGATTCTGAGTGTCAGGACTCATGCCAGGATTGGGCACACACCTTTCCTGCCCTCCTGTCACAGGAGGAGCCTTGTTGTATTCAGAAAGCATCTCAGGGAGGTACACATGCAGAGCAAAGGGAGGATCAGGTCCTAGCCCCTTCCCATGGCTGCAAGCAGCAGACCACCATCAGCCAATCCTTTCCTCAGACTTACCTCTCTGACTGACAGCAGCATCAGGGACACTTGAGGAGACAGTATCCTCCTGACAGCAGCTTCTGAGGTTTGTTTTTTCAGAGGTGGGGAGGTGGCACCCTGAAACCTCCTGATTTCTAGTCATCCTTAGTTCATCAGCCAGTTGAATTATTTTTCAATCTGGAAGCCTTGGCTCCTGGCTCCATCTCTTACCCACTCTGTGGCCTTGGACATATTCACTTTTCCAAACCTTTTCTAGCCAATGTCTGCCCTCCCTGCACCTTAGCACTATAAGAGTTCAATACGATCACATACGTGAAGCTGGTTAGACCGGATCCCATCACACAGGGCTTATTCCACACATCAAATCCTTTCTGGGAAAGAGACAGTGAGGAATATATCAGTTTGAAGTGACTTTAATAATGCTGGTAGTGGTGGTGGTAACAACACAAGAGGGCACAAGGAACATAAAGATGCTGAGATTTATGGAGCAGTCACCTCATTGAAGGAAACCCACTGTTCATTCCTGGATATGCCTCACCTTTCCTGCCCTCAGTTTCCCCAGGGGTACGGGACTTTACAATGCTTGGGTGATGGAGTGAATAGAACACGCTGACTGTTTCAGCCGTGTCTCAGAGACACTGTTGCTAGGCGACTCTGTTCTGTAGTCTAGAGAGGGAGAGAGATGATGTCTCTTAAGGGGCATCTTTGACTCAGACTTGAGAAGCCATATGACATCAGGAGTATGAGACTGTGGGTTCCGTGCCTTGTTCTCAGTAGCTCATCTGGGGGGCTGTCATCTTTACCATTAGCTTTCCTGAGTCTGCTTCCCTTGTCAGGATAGAAAGGCAGGCAGGCTGGGGTTCTTTGCAGTTGCCAAGCTTGGAGAATTCCTGGACTGAGAGGTTCCCAGGAGACCTGCTATTTGGGTTGGGGGCATTCTTCTTGCCATAGACTGAGCTCTTCCCTGGGTACCTCAAAGGAGAGAAGGGGTTTGTTCTTTTACTTAAGACCTCTAAGTTGGCACTGGAGGTGCATACACAGGTCTGAAGCCCATAGAGGAAGGGAGCTTCGCCCTTCTGCATTGGTTTTCTGGAGCTGGGGTTGGGAACTTCCTACCTAAGTAGGAAGGCTCACATGCTAAGTCCATTTACGCACAATAAGAGTACAAAGAAGACTCAGGTGACTCGGGCCTCAGTTGGTCAGAGGTGTCCAGGTTCTTCCTCTTTTTCTCTTTTGCATGTCTGGCTCATCAGCTTTGTCCCTCAGGCTTGGCCCCAAGGTGGCTGCCATATGTCTCAGGTGCAGACATGTCACATCTCATTTGGGAATCACTGAGTAAGCCTTTCTCCAATGCTTCCAGCAAAGGTCCCTCATGCTCCACTGACAAGGGAATGGGTTAAGGGGTAAAGCGACTGCTTCAGATGGATCATGACTTATTCCTGTGCCCCACAGAGGAGGAGGAGATATCGGCCAGGCTGTGGTTCTGTCAGCAAGGGGAATTGGGGGACTGTACTTGAGTCATTAATAATATCCACACACAGAAATCCTTGTCCTTGGGGTCCCTGGGCAGCTAATTGTAGTACCCCATAAACGCTGAGTCTTGTAACATGGCCCCAATTTTAGGAATATGTCTTAGGTACTTCTTGGTGGCAGGGTCCGTGTCTTATACTCCTTTAGCCTCTGGACTACAGTTCTCTTAGTTCCTGGAATGGTACTGGACACACAGGAAGCATGGGACAAATTTTTCTTCTTAACAATTAGAATAGCCACACTTATGAGGTAATTGTGATGCCCCAGGCTGTTCTAGGAGCCTTATGTGTTTTCTCCCAGTAACTCCATGGGGTAGGTAGCCTCCATCCCTTTTCACTGATAAGCCTTACGTACAAGCCAAGTTACTTGAGTAGGGTACCCAGTTCATGAGTGGTGGAGTAGAGAGTCCAAGTAGAAATCCTGGTGGTGCAACCCTGAGGCTTTCATGCTTTTTTTCATGCTAAGTTGCATTGCGGACTGGCTGTATTATTCAGCGACTGGGTGAGTGATCAAAGGGAGGTGACTCAGAGCTTCGGAGTCACTGGAGAGAACTTCCTCTTCCTAGAATTCTCATATCATCTTTGAAGGCTGCTGGACTAATGAGAACATCATCTATGGGGTAGCAGAATCCACCAGGACTTCACTTGTTGGGAAATGACCCATCATTTCTCCTCTCTGGTCTCATACAGAGCAACACTGCCCCGTGGGGCAGCCTGAGGGGTGGCTGTCACCCCAGGTCCATCCCCCCTCTGATCTTGCTGATTTAGCTGTTCTCCTCATCCTCACACACACTCTGACAAACCTGACCATCCCGCTTATCCTTTCCTGAGTACTGCACTGTTTTCCCGTGTGTCCCTGGCTCTTTGGTGGCCCTAGGTGGGCACAAGGCTCCAGTGACCTGAGTAGCTCCTTGCCCTTCATCATGTGCTGGGTGTAAGCACACATCTCCTCTTCCAGCAGCCATCAACCGTGGGCTTGGAAAGCAGGTGTGCCTTCAGCCCCGCAGGCAGGAGGAGGGCTCGATGTGAGGTTTGAGCAGATGAGCAGGACTTCCTCACAGTTCTACCAAGGATGGGTGGAGTCCCAGTTGCACAAAGCACCCTTGGGGATGACAGCAGAAAGTCCAGTGTAGACATGTGAATGGAAGGTTAGTTTTCTGAACAAAGAATCAACCTGCAGCCAGCATCTGATTTAATGTATTTAATCCCCGCCTCGATCCTGTGTGGAATGTGTAATTCCAGTTTTCCAAGTGAGGAAGCTGTACGTAGTTTAGAGAGGTTGGTAACTGGTCTGGTGTCACACAGGCTTCCCGAGCCCCGAGCCTCATTTCCTTTACCTAGAAGATGAGGATAGCAACCTTGGCCCACCTTGCAGGGAGCTGGGGCACTGACTCCCATAGCCTGCTGTCTGGTGCTTTGCCAGAGCATGGGACAGAATATGGGAAAGCACTGTGTCACCTCTGGTGACTGTGGCATGGGCCTCTGTGTCTGTGGGCACACATGCGACTATGCCAAGGGCAGGGTCATACAGAAGGGCCAGGTGCTGACCTGCAAACCTCTGTCATCCTTCTCCTTGCAGAGGGCCATCCGTGTACGCAGCCACTCCATGGAGACCATGGTGGGCAGTCAGAGGAAGCTGCACAGTGGAGGCATTCCTGGAAGTCTCAGTGGGGGCATTGTCCACAACAGCATGGAGGTCACCAAGACTACCTTCTCGGTAAGTGTGGCTGGCCCTAGGCCAGCATGTGGACCAGGGGAGGCTCCTCACTAAACCTATGCAGGAAGGGTGCCCCTGCCCAGGCTTGGGCTAGACAACTTGAGCAGGGCAAGCTGGATGATGGAGGGAAACTGAGTCCACTTGGGGGTGACTCACTCTTTGCCCTCTGATAATGGTTGCTTGGAGCCTCAGTCCCAGGTGGTACCTGGAATTGGCCTGGACTAGAAGTTCCCTTGTCTTGTTCTCTGAGTTTCTTTGACAGCTGGATCTCCTCCTTTGGGCCAATCCTACAAAATGGTCCTAGGGTGTGTTTCCCTGCCCAGGGGCTTGGGGCCCATGACTTGGAGAGGGGTGTCCTTGCTTCGTTATTGTTAATGATAGCAGTCGCCACCCCAGCTTGCTGTGTGCTAGATACCAGGCTAAGTAATCCATAGACAAGGTCTTTCCTGATTCCTGTTACAGCTGCCTGAGGCAGGTCCTGAAGCCATCTCTGTTCCACATTTGAGGAAATGGAGGCTCAGAGAGGTTAAGCAATTGCTGCAAGTCACTCAGCTAAGCTGAGGATCTGGGATTTGAATGCAAATCTTCCTGATTCAAAGTTTATCTTCTTCATCACTGCGTATACAGTGACAAAGGAGAGAGGGCCCTTTGGCTTTGGTCTGTGAGCTCAGGCCCAGTTGACTTATACCAGGGCTGGGCAGGCGAGGGAACCCTACTGCCAATCCATTTGTGTCAGGCAAAGTGGTTTTGGAATTGTATTTTCTAGGATTTTCTTTTCTTGTTCTTTTTCTGATAGTAGAACAAACTTACCATAATATTCATGATTCTAATTATAAATGGCTTTGCACAGTTAGTTTAATCTACCTATTGTCATGTTCCTTTGAGAAGGTCTATGAAGTGAGCATTCTGTGGTTGAGACTGAGGCTCAGAGAGTTTTGCAGTTTGCCCAGGGTTGCACACACATGATTGGCAGAAGTTGGGGCCTGGCTTAGAAGCTCTAAAGGTTGGCTCCAGGTTCCCATCTCTCCTTCCTCAATGTCCTGCCATTTCATTTTCACCCTGTGAGGCTCAGCGACTGTCCTGAATCAGAAACCTCTGCTGGCTCCACAGCTCCCCTTCCATCTGGTTATCGTGACTCCTCCCAGGCTCCGTGTACTCCTGAGCAGTGGATGGAGGGTCAGGAGCCCTTGGGTTCTTGTCCTCATCCTTCTAGTGATGTGCTGGCTGACCTCGATGAAATCGCTTCACCTTCTGGTCCTTGGCTTCCTCCCTGGTGAAATCGAGGGTTGAACCAGGGTTCTTGAGCTTTGAGGTTCTCAGTCTGTGATCCCATGAGTCATCCTGACTTTCTCAATATGTGGAGCTTTGCTGTGGTGGCCGTGACCCCAGCAGGAATTCTGGTCTTCCTTGGGCCATTGCTTGGGGCCAGTGACTTGTCTTAAGAACACAGAAAAAGACTGTGAGAGGCCTGAGCCGTGGGGTTTCAGCTCTTGTTATATAGATCCCATCTTTCCTAGCTGCATCGCTATCTTCTGGGGTCCCCTCCAGACCAGGCAAAATTTGTAGACCAGAGAGAGGGAAGGGAAGGAGACTCGAGTCTGGGGTGGGTGCACTCACTCTGGCAGTTTTCTCCGCAGCCTCCAGCAGCAGCTGCGACAGTGAAGAACCAGTCAAGGAGCCCCATCAAGCGGCGGTCAGGGCTCTTTCCCCGTCTGCACACAGGCTCTGAAGGCCAGGGGGATGGCCGGACACGATGGTAACTGTCAGGGGCCCCCAGCTCCAGCCCAGCTGTGGGATCTGTCAGCCTTCTCCACCTTGATAGCTGTCTGATACCCAACCTTGGGAAGAGCTTAGCTCAGATTGGGGAGGTGGCTTCTCTTTAACCCTGGCTCTGCTCAGGCTCCTGCCTGGTCATTTACTCACTCAGCTTTTTATCTACTGAGCCATTTGGCCACTCTCTCCATGGATCTCCAAAGTTGTTTTTGTAGCATTTTGATCCAGGCTAGAAACGTTTCCTGCGTTCTCGTCTTACAATGCTCGGTCCAATGTACACCCCCACCCCTGTACCTTTTTACGTCACTGGGGATTGAACTCAGGGCTTTGTACATGCTAGACAAGCACTCTACCACTGAGGGCACCCCCAGCTCCAAATGTCCCCTCCTATGGAAACTTTCCCTGATTGTGCCAGGCAGAGTTCATTGAACCTTCTTTTGTACTTCTAGAATGTTCTATTTTTTTTTTAATTTTTTATTGTTGGCTGTTCAAAACATTACATAGTTCTTGATATATCATATTTCACACTTTGATTCAAGTGGGTTATGAGCTCCCATTTTTACCCCATATACAGATTGCAGAATTACATCAGTTACACATCCATTGATTTACATATTGCCATACTAGTGTCTGTTGTGTTCTGCTGCCTTTCCTATCCTCTACTATCCCCCCTCCCCTCCCCTCCCCTCCCCTCTTCTCTCTCTGCCCCCTCTACTGGCATTCATTTGTCCCCCTTGTATTATTTTTCCCTTTCCCCTCACTTCCTCTTGTATGTACTTTTGTATAACTCTGAGGGTCTCCTTCCATTTCCATGCAATTTCCCTTCTCCCTCCCTTTCCCTCCCACCTCTCATCCCTGTTTAATGTTAATCTTCTTCTCATGCTCTTCCACCCTACTCTGTTCTTAGTTACTCTCCTTATATCAAAGAAGACATTTGGCATTTGTTTTTTAGGGATTGGCTAGCTTCACTTAGCATAATCTGCTCTAATGCCATCCATTTCCCTGTAAATTCTATGATTTTGTCATTTTTTAATGCAGAGTAATACTCCATTGTGTATAAATGCCACATTTTTTTTTTATCCATTCATCTATTGAAGGGCATCTAGGTTGGTTCCACAGTCTTGCTATTGTGAATTGTGCTGCTATGAACATCGATGTAGCAGTGTCCCTGTAGCATGCTCTTTTTAGGTCTTTAGGGAATAGACCGAGAAGGGGAATAGCTGGGTCAAATGGTGGCTCCATAGAATGTTCTATTTTTTTAAAGTAACTCTCATATTGCAGCATATTTAACCTGTTCTTATTAATCATCTTTCTGATCCTTTAATTGATGAACCCATTTGTTCTTTAATTCAGCAAGCAGCATTTATTGAGTGCCTGCCGTATGCTGGGCCTGGTGCTGAGTGCTTAGACAGGCGCAGCTGGACACCCAGGTCTGCCCTCTGCAGCACACAGTACTGGGAGGAAGACATTTAGATTCATTTCCAGATTTCTGGTTGTTGGCCTATAGCCCCGGGTGATGGTACCATCCCCCAAACTAGGTCATGCTGGACAAGGGACAGGTTTATGGAGGAGGACAAAAGGCTCTGTTTGGAACCTGCACATGTGAGTGTCATGGGCCACTCAGGAGAGATGTCCAATTCTTGAGTTTTGGAGAGAACACCTGACTGGAGAGGAAGGAGTTGGGTGACTCTGGAATAGACAGGCTGGTTAAAGACATGTTAATGAGTCAATATGAGTGTCCCCAGAGGGTATGTGGAGCACCAGTGTTTAAGGGCACATGGAGGACAGAGAGCTAGTGAACATGACAAGAGGAAAAGAGAGGAGAGGCTGTGGAGGTTGGGATCAGTGAAGCCAGGAGGGGGGAAATTTCATTAGTGTTGGATGTGCAGGCAAGTTTAGCACAGTGGCCCAGACCCCTGAGTGGGGCAGCGAGGCCATCAGAAGTACATTGAGGCATTTACCACCACTCGCATGGCTGTGATCAAAAAGACAGATAATAGGGCCTGGGTTGTAGCTTGGTGGTAGAGGGCTCGCCTAGCATGTGCGAGGCACTGGGTTTGATCCTCAGCACCACATAAAAATAAATAAATAAAATACAGTTATTGTGTCCATTTACAACTAAAAAAATAAAAATAGAAAAGGCAGATAATAATAAGTGTTAGGATGTAAAGAAATCAAGCCCTTATTCATTGCTGTTGGAATATGAAACAGTGTGATGACAGCTTTGGGAAACAGCCTGCAGTTCCTCGGAAGGCTGAACTAGAGTTACCCAGTAATGCCACCCCTAGGTATCTACTCAAGAGAATTGAAAACAATTGCCCATAAAAAAACGAATACACCAGCACCACTCAGTACACAAATGTTCATTGTAGCCTTATTCGCAATAGCCCAAGGTGGAAACAGTCCAAATGTCCATCACTTGATAACTAGATACATAAAATGGGGATATTATTTTCCAATGAAAACAACTAAAATTCTGATGCAGGCTATCACATAGTGAACTTTTGAAAACATTATGCTAGTGAAAGAAGCTAGACATAAAGACCATACCACATTATATGATTTCATTTATATGAAATGTCCAGATTAGCAAATCCATAGACAGAAAGTAAGTTAGTGGTTGGAGGAGAGTGGGGGCAAGAGATGGATAGACAGTGACTGCAAATGGAGCCAAGGTTTCTTTTGGGAGGTCTAAGAATTAGACTGTGGTAATGATTACACAATTCTGTGAATATACTAAAAACCGTTTAATTGTCTACTTTAAATGAATGAGTTGTGTGGTATGTGTATTGTGTCTCAATGATGCTGTTTTTTTAAATGTATTTTTTTAGTTATAGATGGACACAATATCTTTATTTTGTTTATTTTTATTTTTTTATGTGGTTCTGAGGATCGAACCCAGTGCCTTACATGTGTAAGGTGGGCGCTCTGCCACTGAGCCACAACCCCAGCCCTCAATGATACTGTTATTAAAAAAAAAGTGCATTGCTGGTCATGGTGGTGCATGCCTATATGCTCAGTGATTAGGAGGCTGAGGCAGGAGAATTGCAAGTTCGAGGTCAGCTTTAGCAACTTAATGAGACCCTTTCTCAAAATAAAAAATAAAAAGGGATGAGGATGTAGCTCAGTGGTAAAGTCCCCCTGGGTTCAATCCCCAGTCCCTCTTCCCCCTTCCCCTTAAAAAAAAAAAAAACGTTCATTGAGAACAAAGCTATTGTGTATTGTGTACTTAACAGCTGGCACAGGGTAAATGGTCTCTACTAAACTTTAAGGTAAGGGAACTTCTGGACCCTTGGGTCAAGAGTAGCCCTTTGCTCTCTAATACCCAGACCTACTATCTCACATAGATCCAGGGGCCTCATATTACAGTGTGTATACAGGGTGTCCCCCCAGAGTCACACAACAGATGGTCCCCCTGGAACCTTCCAGGAATCCATACATATTGGACTGTTTCCTGTATAGACTCTACTCTGTTTCCTGTGGGGCCCTTTCTCAATTCATAGCTTTGCCTGGTGGGACAGCCAGCTTGGGTGAGGGGTAGACTTGGGCTGGATCCAGGGTTCCTGTTTGATGGGCCTGAACTCTTACCCACGAACCTAGAGTGGGCTTTTCTGTAAGGGAACACAAAACCCTGTTGGCTGTTGTAGTCTCAGGGGCTCAGGTGAGAAAGGAAGTCCTGTAGCCATGCTTTAAAGGTAGGGGTCTGCTGAACCCCACAGTCAGAACTCTGTCTTGGACCTGGGGGTGGACTGGCATATTGGGAGCTGGCTCCATGGTATCACTCTCTTCATTCTCATTCCCTCAGTGACAGTGCATCCAGCACCCCCAAGACCCCAGATGGCGGACACTCTTCTCAGGAGATAAAGTCTGAGACCTCATCCAATCCCAGCTCTCCGGAAATATGCCCCAATAAAGAGAAGTAAGAAAGTGAGGGTGAAGGAAAGGCTGGCTTTCCTCATTTGGAGTCCTGGAACATGGGCTTCTGCCTCTAGGCAAGCTGAGAGTCTGTTTCCTCTGGAACTTTCTGGAACACAAAGATTGGCGGGGGAGGGGGGCACAGGAATTATTGTGGGCAAGTTCAGGTCTCAGCTGGGCCTGTTCCATTCTCCATCTGGGAAGGGCCTGAGGGCTGAAAGGGGTCTTGGTTTCCTGTGACTGGGGCTGGCCTCGCTTCCTGTTCCCTGCAGGCCCTTCATAAAGTTGAAGGAGAACGGCCGGGCCAACATCTCCCGCTCCTCCTCCAGCACCAGCAGCTTCAGCAGCACTGCAGGAGAGGGCGAAGCCATGGAGGAGTGTGACAGTGGGGTAAGTGTGCCCATTCCAACCTGTGGAGGGTATCCTGGGACTGAGACAGCAGAAAGGAAAGAGCAGGTCCACTGGGGTAGGAGGCTCTGGGCTTGTGGGGGTCCTATCTCAGGCCTCTCTGGGCACGGGACCCTGTGGGGCTTCCGAGGGTGCACTGACCTCTCTCACCCAGTCTCTCTCTCCCCAGAGCAGTCAGCCGTCCACAACCTCACCTTTCAAGCAGGAGGTGTTTGTCTACAGCCCGTCCGCGAGCAGTGAGAACCCCAGCCTGGGGGCAGCTGCCACCCCCATCATCATGAGCCGGAGTCCAACAGGTCAGTGGCTTTTGGTGGTGTTTGCAGCGTGGCTGGAGGGGTTGTGTGTGCAATGTGGCTGGAGGGGTTGTGTGTGTAATGTGGCTGGGAGGGCAGGATGTGCCTTGATCACTGTTCATGTGGTATGCGCCCCAGGCACGCTGGTCTGGCCAGTTCCTGTCCACCTCTGAGATGTCGGCCCTTCAGCCTACCAGCTCTTTTAATCTGCCCATCAACCTTAAGTAGCCTGTGTTCTTATTTTCTTTTTATGTATGGAAACTGAGGCTCCAAGAGTTCAGTGATCTGCGGGAGATGCCATAATTGAGGAGCTAGAATCATGAGGTTAGAAAGCTGAGTGTGCTCCCTACCTTTGATGCTACCCCATCAGCCATCCTGGGCCCCTCTGTCATGGCTTTGATCCTGATGATACAAGGCTAAGAGGGAGGAGCAGCATGTGAGAAGGCTGGAGGAAATGAGAGACTTGGCATTGTGGAACCTTATGTGATTCAATGCAGCTGGAATTCATGGGGAGGCGTGAGAGAGGAGAGACAGGCTGCAGTAGTCACAGGTGGGCTGCCAGGAGATTCTGGTGGGAATTGTAATGCTGTCACTCCTAGAGGGGTCTCAAGCCTTGAAGGTCTTAAGTAGAAAAGTGCCATCTGGAATTGAGAAAGAGCATTTTGGCTGCTGCATGCTGAGTATGGAAAGGTTGACAGGGAGCTCGAGCCGGGAGGGGGAACAGAAGGAGCACAGTAGGGCGGTGGAAGGAGATGAGGCCCCAGAGAGGATGGGAGAGGATGTCAAGGAGGTAAATGGTAGTGGGAATTCTGGGAGAACAGGCCTTTTGAGGTTTTGGGATCCCTGCAGTTGGGCAGAGTAAGAGGCCCCAGCTCTGGAAGAGGGGAAAGAGCAGGCCCTGAGAGCTATCTAAGTGGCCCTGTGTGATAGGCACTCTCTATCCAGGTGGGTATTGTAGGTGCCCAGAAATCAAAGTCCTTGAGGCAGGCAGCACAGCATGGGGCACGCGTAGGACTCTGAAGCTTGCATGCAAAGCCTGGATCTGCCACTCACTAGTGATGTGACATTGGGCAAGTTACTAGGTTTATGCTTATAAGGGACATAGAACTATTAACCCAAGTGTGAATTAAATGATTGGGATAGAACAGTAGTATGATCAGTGGTTTTAGGTGGGGGCAGATATGCTTCTCAGGGAATCTTTGGCAATGTCTGGAAACATTTTTGGTTTTCATGATTGTGGAAGGGGGGAGGGACCCTGTGATAACCAGGTAGTTAGCGATACTGCTCAACAATGTACCCAACCTCCAACAAAGGATTATCTAGCTCAAAATGGAATAATTTTAGAAATTCTATCCAAACGTTAAGGACACAGGAAGGGTCATTGGGCTGTTACAATGGTTTCAGCCAAAATACATCTGGGGTTCTCATGGCGAGGTGTGTTGGTGAAAAGGGTCAGAAATGTCAAAGGGAAGATATAGGGAAGATCATGGTCAAGAGCAAGTGATCTTTTATCTTAGTGTTTCCCAGTTAATGGAGCAGTTCATGCCTTCCTCTCATTCACCTCCCATTTGAAGCTGGGTTCTAATCAGACAGGCCTACTTTTCTGAACCTCCATTTCCTCCTCTGTAAAATGGGATAGTTTTACACATTCCTGGATTTTTAAGGGTTAGTTAGTTAAATGTTGATAGAATGAATGAAAGAATCTATAACCAAACCTAGTACCTATGTGGCACTAAACAAATATCAAAATGAATAATATGTAGAGTAAGAGAAGCTTATAGAGAGTCTACGATATATTGAAGGTCACTCAGGGCAAAAGGGAACCTGGATCACGTCTGGTAACTCTTGTCTAGTGCTTATTGCACCTCCCAGTGATGAAAAAATGTGGTTTTAACATGAATATTGACTGATATTATCATTTATGTTAACCAGTACTTTATATTAAGAGAACTTCAGCCATTTGTTAAGGTCATGAGCAACGTTTTTACTGAGTCAGATAATAATTTTCAAATATCAGAAGAGTATTTACCCAGTTTTTTGGCACTATTCACAATGAAATGGCTGTAGGCACAGCACATTTTCAAATATAATCCACATGATTACTTTCTCCATTAGTTTCTTAAGTCTAGACAACAAAACAATAAATCATGCCTGATTTGTAGCATTTGCCGGTTGATCTCAAGCTATTTCCATGATGTCCTTGAACATGGGCTGGGAAAAAGTACTGTTCACCCCTGTGGGGTGTTTCTGTCACAGATACAATGGACGCAAAAGTATAGACAATAGTAAAATCTAGTAAAATAGTGAGGACATGATGAATTTTGAGTATTTATTACTTTTTGAATATAATTTATTTACTCAAAAGCTTTTATCATTTAATTTTTAAAACTTTCTTGTGTTTAACAACCAGCTCATACCATTTCTAGAAGTTTAAGAGTTGGCTCTGATGCATGTTCACATGGGCTACTATGCCTTGAGGCAAGGCAGGGAGGCCCCTTTCTCTTGGCTTCCACAGACAGTCTCTCTCTCCATTCAGTTCTCGTGACCTCTGCCGTTCCATCTCCTTTTCATGGACATTCTCCTTTTCTTAGATGGCAAAAGCAGAAACTCCCCAAGATCAAACCTGAAATTCCGCTTTGATAAGCTCAGCCATGCCAGCTCCAGTGCGGTAAGGATCTGGGTGTGAGGACCACCCCCCATCCCAGGCTCCTCCAAAAGCCAGCTTTCTTTCCTGTGGGCTGGAAGGGGAGCATGTCTCAGATATCACATGGTGGTTCCCTGAGAGGGGAAGGGAGGTTCTTGTCAGATCTGGGGGTGATACCACCTGTCCCCCCATGGTGTAGGCATCAGCCAGGTGTTCATCAGCTACTTTTGCCATACCTTTCACATTTGAGCCACCATTGGACACACACAGCTGTGTCCAGATCTGCAATGTGAACCACTGTCCCCTGGGGCCCCTGTCCCTTCCTAAGGTCACCAGATTGTTGAGAGGAGAGTGTGCAGAGGTTGCAGGTGGAGCAGATTGCTATCTTGTTATTTAAAACTCTTGTATGGATATTTCTTGAAACAGGGTCACTAATGGAAAGTGGAGTCCTTTGCCTGTCCAAGGTAAGTATTTGTTTTGCAGTGGCCACAAGGAGAGTTGTGTATTCCTTTCAGATCAGGGTACCAGCTAGGTGTAATGGCACACGCCTGTAATGTCAGCGACCTGGGAGGCTGAGGCAGGAAGATCACAAATTCAAGGCCAGGCTCAGCAACTTAGTGAGACCCTCAGCAACTCAGCAAGACCCTGTCTCAGAATGAAAAATAATAAGGGCTGGGAAAGTTGCTCAATGATTGAGTACCCCTGGGTTTAATCCCCAGGAACAACCCCCACCAGAAAAAAAGATCAGGGTGCTGGTGACCTTATGACCTGAGAATGGTCAGAGAGCTGCTACCAGCTGGGGAGGTCCACACAGTGGCCTTATCTCCAAACATCCATGATGGGCTTCCCTAAGTCTATGAAGGGAAGAAAGGGAGGATGCCTTGGGTGTGGAAGGGAGGGGTTACCCAGTGGGATTGGTGCAGTTCACTACAAAGATCTCCCCCAAACTGGTGAGTCTGATTGCAGCAGGTGGAAGGGATCAAGGCCAGAGTCCATTTCCTTTCCTGGAGGGAGGAGTTTCTCAGCTCACCTGTTGCTTCCCTGATCTTAGGTAGCCTTTCCCTCCTTGTGTCTTTGGCCAAGGCTCTAGGCTAGAATGTGTCCTTCCTTCATGCCAAGAGATGCTCTTGCTCAGGAAAAAGTATAAGGGACAGCCCCAGGGAGACCTCTGCTCTCAGCCTCTGCCCAGGGGTTCATGTGGTTCCAGCAGAGCAGGGCAGGAGTCCTCCATGATTAAGTTTCTGCTCCTACTAGTGAAGACACCAGAACCCATCTGAACTCCTGACCCTCCCCCACCTGGAATCTCAGGTGGATGAGTCACATTAGGGACCATGGAAAAGGGCACTTTAAGCCTGTTTATGAGAAAACAGAAGAGAAAATGGGAATGTCAACATTCACCTCTAACATCTATCATGGGCTTCAGATGCTTCTCTTTACCAAAGTAATGTTCATACCCAACTGCCAGGGCTGTGTAAATGAAGTCAGGGACCCTTATGTTGGACACCCTCCTTGTCCTGAGTGCAGCTGGTGGGCTGTGGTTATGTAACGGTGTATTTATCTTTCCTGCTTTTATGGAATGCTCGCTCATCTTCTCACTTCCCCTTGTCTTCTGCAGGGAAGCCCAGTTCTGTCCTGTAGAAGGCTCCTGTTCCAGCAGTTTGGGGGTGCCATCTGCTACTCTGACCATCACAGGCCTGTTGCCCTACTGGCCACCTGCCCATCAGACCGGCTTCCTGTGCCATGTCCCAACCTGACCACGGCCCTGCTGGCTCCTTTATCAACATACCCTGCAAGAATCTTCCCATTTCTGGACAAGGCTTCATTCCTGGAGGCTCCTCTGCTCTTGACCTCCAGCTGTGATGTCTGTCTGGGTCATTTGTCATCATCTTGCTTTGTCTGAAGGACAGAGAGTTGGGCAAGAAGGGATCTAGGTATGGGAGCTCAGTCAGAGACTGGGGAGCTCATTTGCTTCAGAGGCAGAAGGTGATGAGGTGGAGAGCAGAGGTGATAGCAGAACATAAGGTGGGCCCTGTCTGTCCTTGGTCACCGTGCAGTGCCTTCCTGGACTTGGAGACAGGAGCTTCACCACCACCAGTGCATTTAGTGATGTAGTGGAGGTAGAGGGGCTGCTTTCCCAGGAGCCAAGACTAGCAACATCTTGGAGGTTGTCCTGATAAAAATAGGCTCCAAGCTGGGTGCATACCTGTAATTCCAGCAACTCTGGAGGCAGGAAGATTGCAAGTTCAGGACCAGCCTTGGCACTTAGAGGGACTTTTTCTCAAATTAAAAAATTAAAAGCATGGGGATGTAGCTCAGTGATAAAGCAACTTTGGGTTCAATCCCCACCCCCACCCCCACCTATCCCACCAAAAAAACCCTCCATTGGTCCCTGATCTCTGGAACTCCAAACATATACCTGCTTTTGTGCAAAACATTTCTGATCTAGTCCCAGGGAAAGGTCCAGGGATGCTGTCATCCGTGTTGCTAGGGGCTTGGGCTTGTGGAAGCACAGAGACTGAGCTGGGTATGTCTGAGACCTGGGCTGCACACTTCCTTGATTGTAGCTGAAACTTTTTCCCCACTAATTTTATGCAGATTCCTGACTATCCTTGATGTGGGAGAAGCACCAGAAAATCTTGCCCCTTTGAGCAGACATTTTGTTTCCCTAGGAACAGCTGGGAAGCCAGGAATGAGAAGGAGTTCTGAGAGAGGGAACAGGCCAATGCTGGGCATTTGAGGAAAACTACAGGGCCTGAGGGCTCAGCCAGCCTCCACTGGGTCCCAGTCTCCACTGGTTGTGGAAGACATAGTTATTTCAATCCCCCTATGAGTGAGAGGGGAAGAGGTGAGCTGGGGGGTATGACGTGGCAGATTCTGGTCAGGCCAATGTGTGGGGGTTGAACTTAAGTGTGGGAAAGGAATGCAGTGTCCCTCAGACCCTGCATGTCCTTGGCATCTGTGGAGTGTCTAGTGCAGCCTTGGGAGCTGCTTCCATTTACTGTGCCCTCTGGGCATGTCTGGGGCTCCATCCCCCAAGCCTCTTACCCTTTCCAATCAGAGCCACTTTCTCTGGGATGAGCCAGCTGTCCTGAGGGAAAGCCCCCTGGCCTCTCACCTATCTTAGTCTGCAGGGTGTTTTTGCTGCTGGGTTTAGGGTGAGGCACCCTCCAAGTCAAATACAGTCTGAACAGCAGACCCTGGGTGGTGCTGCAGCTTGAAGCGCACAGGGCCTCTGGCATAGGTGGTACAGTGCTGCGCTGCTGGGGTGTTGCTGGCTGGGCTCCCCATTTTAATGAGCAGATGACAAGATTTCTAATCAAGTGCTTTATCTATACAAGGATCTGGACCCAATCCCAAGTCAAAGCATAGAAATGCAACACATTTTTTTGGACTGATATTTCCTCCTTACTTTTGCCATTAGCACAAAATTTTGATCTTTCATTTCCCACTCTCGTGTTGGATCCTGTCTGCAGACTGGGAGTGACTGCACCCCTTACCCTGTGTGGGACATGTGCTTACATAAAGTACTAGTCTGGTAAGATTTATTCTAGTTAGGAGGTCAACAAAAGATCTTTTTAGCTGAAAGTCAGTGTAGTGGCACCCACTGCTGGAACGAGGCCTGCAGGTCTGGCGGCTTTCTGTTGGCTGGGTTTCTGAAGGAGCTTGAAAGGTCGAACTGCATTTCTTTGAAAATGATTACAGGCTTCGGGCTCGCCTCTCTGGGTAGCTAGTATTTACAGTTGGTTGTGCCATGTTATATTGCATTCTGGGGTCCTTTGAGGTTTCCAGATTGTCCCCATGCTGTCCTGTATGGGAATGTCATACCTCCCTGTCTCTACTGCTCTAACTGCTCCTTCTGCAGCTACTATGTGCCTGTTGGGCTTTGCCCCTGGCTCTGGGCCGGTGGGCAGGATGGCTGGGTGTGTTCAGAAAAACAGACACAGGTTTGCTCCTGAAGAAGTACAGACATGGGAGGTGGTCTTCACCCTCGGCTTGCTGTTGGGGTACTCTGGGTAGGATCTGAGCTGCCACCTTCCTCTAGATCATGCCTCTCCATCTTTAGAAAGTCCATTTATTGGCTTCCAGAGTATGCATTATCTACCTACCTGAGGTCCTAGTGGAGACAAGGAAGAAGTGGATGGGAATGTGGCCCAGTCTCCCCTCACTCTCCTGGACCATGGGCAGCAGCTCAGGTTCTTGGAGGGCTGTCCCCCACCTTACCCCACATTCTGATCCAGAATGACTGTCCTTTTATTGCTACACTCAGTCTTGGGGCTCAGAGACTTGCTGAAGCCCCCTAAGCCCTTATGACTGAATTTGTGTAGATGGTGCTTATGTTGGTATTTGGGGCATTTCCACTATGACCTTCATGAGAGGTTCTTCCGGTCACATCTCTGTCTCTGGGGACCACCTGACTCACAGAAGAAACTACCCTTTGCAGGTGCTGTTGGGCACCCAGATGTCTCTAGCTCCACTGATGCTTGAAAACAGCTGCAGAAAAACTTGAGATAGAAGGTCTTAGGTGGAGTTTCTGCCTATGCTAATGAATGTCAAATGATGTTTCTTAGAAAATATGTGGTTCAGTTTTTGGGGGCATAGTCTTGAAGCCCAAGCCTTCTGCCTTCTTTTACCATCTCATTCAACCATGTCATGACCCACATGTGAAACCTTAGCCCCAGTGAACCCATAGCCAGCTAGTGGCAAAGCTGAGACTAGAACTCACAGCCCAGGGTTCTGTCCTCTGCACCAGCTGTGTGACTGATAGAGAAAGTGACTGGACCTTCCAGGTTTGGGGGAAGCCATGTTGGGAGGTGCAGCACCTGGTGGGTCCTTGGTCTCTGCTATTTTCTGTCAGGAGGGCTCTTCTCTTGGATTGGTCAGTGAGGACCCCGGGATTTGATTTGAGCAAAGAGAATGGAGAGGAAAAGGGATTCCAGGGAACTGCTCCTCAGTGACCTCTGGTCTTCAGCTCCAGTCTATAAGGTGGCGGAGGCCAGGGCACAGATGCAGTTCACCACCCCCAGCTTCCTTGCTGCAAATTAAGACAGAAGGTGGTAAAAGAAAACTCTCTCATTTTTCTCTGATTCTTAAAGGAAAGTGATTAATAGGAACCTAGGTTCAATTGATCAGCCGGGACATGGCCTATTTCACTTTCCTTACCTTGACCCTAGAAGGTGCCAACTCAAACACTACCTTTTTCATTTGTTTCTTAGTCTATAGATTCAGCTGTGTTGTGGGGAATGGTGGGGGATTCAAGTAGATCTTACAGCTCCAGGGGCTGGAAGGGACCAGGCCAGTCATCCATGTTCAGGACCCTCTGGCTCCTCCCCCACTCCAGCTATTCCTTATCAAAGTCAAGGGTAGGACAATGAAGTTTGCCAAGGCTGCCCCTGCAGCTTGGTGGGGGCCTGTGGGGGCATTCCTCTACCCAGTTCCAGTATCTGTTTTACCATCAGCCCCGCATCCACCCCTATTCCCACCCCTCTCCTTTCAGCTGGGCCATGTACCCCTTTGTGAGGAAGAAGATACCCCCACTTAGGGCCACAGGCAGCGGAGTCCTGCCTACTGAGAGGCTGTTGGGACAGAGGCTCTGTCCTGTGCCTTATCAGCCCTGGGGAGAGGATGTTTGGCTGGAAGACTGGAATTTAATTGCCATTGTCTTTGATTTTGTGATATTTCTGCTTGGAGGGGTGAAACCCCCCTTCCCACTCTTTAGCATGTGTGCCAACTCTCCCCTGTCATGGGTGTTACCCTTCGACACTCCAGCTCAGGGAGTGCTGATGTCCTCATGTGAAGAGATTCCTGTGTGATAGAACCTAAGAAATGTAGCTTGGAAGTGACCCCTGTGACGATGACGTTTCTTTCTTTCCTCTTAGTGAGGAGGTGATTTGTAGATCCTGACTGCCTATGTAATGTAAATAGTGTACATTTAATTTATTGCTATGGTAGCATATTGTATTTGTTAATGTATAAAACAAATTCTAAAAGGTTGACAAATGTATATTTTGTTGCTTAAATGTGTCTTTGCAGAAATTGACAATAAATAACATATTTTGTGTCCATCAGTGTTCCAGCTTCTTTTGCGGGTGGCCCCAGGCCTGGGTATCACCTTTCAGTTCACTGGAGGTTGCATATTAGCTGGCCTATGGATCTGTTAACTTTGGCTTGAAAAGCATTGAAATTTTTTTAAAGATGAGTCATCAATGTTTCAAAACTAATCACAACTTTCAAAAATATACCTAGAAATTTCACATAAAAATCTCAATTTTCTGTTTCTCTTAAAAAATCAGATGCTGAATCTGCTTCTCAGGTGTGAATTCATCAGAGCTCACTGGAATCTGTCTTTTTTTGGGTGGGACCTGATTACACCACAGTTTTCACCATTCTTTATTGTCCACCTCTGGACCATTTTACTCTTTCCCATTATTTGTTTGCATCTATAGGTATGAGTTTAGACCCTGATATTCACTGATTTATCTCTATCCTGCAATTTTCTTCCTTTTCCCCACTTTCTCAAATTACTGATTCACTTATTTAAGGATTCTTTCATAACTAAAAAACCTCTGTTCCTGTTCTTCTTTGACCCTCAAATGGTCACACCCCTCTTTTTAAAAAAATATTTTTAGTTGTGAGTGAACACAGTACGTTTATTTTACTTTTATGTGTGCTGAGGATCAAACCCAGTGCCTCACACATGCCAGGCGAGCACTCTATCACTGAGTCACAGCCCCAGCCCTGGCCACACTCTTTTATACACTCTGCTTTACACTGTTTGGGTCTAGATATAGAAGTAATACCTGTAAATAATTTTTTTCTTAAGAAGATTGAAGACAAGGAACAAATCTTTGAATAACTGACAGGAATTCATTTTGTGATCCTGGGCAAATTACTTCCCATGATTTGCATTTTCTTTTATGTATATTCAGAAATCTAACCCATGTGTAAAGCATAAAGATAAAAATGAGTTCATAATTGGAGAAGAGCTTTGAAAAAAATGGCAAGTATTATTTAATCACCAGAAGTTCAATAATAATGATGATAACCATGGTACCAGATGACATTTATTGCTAGCTGACCATGTGGTAATTGTTTTACATATGTAGTCAGTTTTGTTATGACATTCTAGTTCCTAAAAATAACACTGCGTGAAATCATGCAACCACAGGACTAATGGGAAAAGTGGGGGTAGGTGCATAATACTCAAAAACTTTATCAGTGACACATAAACATAAAAGGTTATGTTTATACCATACTTAATAAAAATGGTAATAATTTTGTACATGTTGATGGTTAGGAAGTACATAAATATTATAATACATAAGGCATTTGAGCTTGAAAAAGGCCTGAAGTTTGCTTGTGGAGGTGGGTGTTAGAAGGGTTGTCACTTATGAATTATTATGAAGACGTAGAGGGGATTTTTTTCTGAAATTGGATGGGTGATGATAACACCAGATATGGATGGGTGTGGCTGTAGCACACACGGTATATAGAGGTAGGTGATAGATATTTGAGGTGCATGTATGTTTTGTGTGTGCCTGTAAAGTTCAGTTTAGCTGGGTCCAGTTTTCTACTTTCACATATTTCTCATGGATGAATTGTGAAATCAAAAGTACAATTTGCATTACACTCAAGTCATTCCCTATTATATCAATTGTGTTGGTGTATTTATTTATTTATTGTGGTACTGGAGATTAAACCCAAGGGCACTTTACCACTGAACCATGTCTCCAGCCCTTTGTATTTTGAGTCAGGGACATACTAAGTTGACCAGGCTGGCCTTGAATTTGAGATCCTTCTGCCTCAGCCTCCTGAATAGTTGGGATTACAGGTGTGCATCATCACACTCAGGGAAACCCCTTCTTAAAACAAGTGTAATAACAGAACTGACTCTATTCTCATTTACTTATCCAAACAACCCATGAACATGTGTTATTATTTCCATTTAACGTAAGGGCTCAGAAGCAATTCAGTTTGGAACCCAAATCTAGTAGGCTGATGTCAACATGAAGGTAAGTTCTAGACTGTTGGGGGTTCTGAATGCATACAAATGCTCCAGGTAGAGTGCATACCAGTTTTCTCTGGTTTCCCTGCCCAGTTGGCAGTCCCTGTCCTGGGACCCATGTCTGTACCCTTCTGGGCTGGGGCCATCCCACTCATGTTAAGCAGCACATCCTCTGAGCCTGTGGTGTAAGGCTTCTTATTTCTCAGCATGTCACCATGGCTGCAAGTGAAGCCTCATCTTTCACACACACACCCCAGGTCTGTCTGTACCTCATGGTTTGGCTGCTTCCTGGGTTCAGCCTTTCTTTCCAGAAGCTGAGATGTCACTTATGGCTGAAGGCTTGTAGAGACTGAACACTTCTTGTCTGTGTGAGAAAGTGCTGTAGGGGCATGGATGCCATTCAGCTGGGCCAACGACTGTCCCTCCAAACTTTCAGACCCTGCTAGTGCTCTGAAAGCTCACCTGTTAGTCCAGGTATCTGTCTTTAGATGTTCTCTCACCAGGTGGGCACTCCTCCAGGTTGAGGACTCAGTCTTAGGACTCTAAAAAATCTGTTCATTGACCTCAGGGTCCAACAGCGTACAGCAGTCATTGGTGTGTGTTGGATTATTCTGTCTCCTGCACAGGGGAAGGCTTTGCTGAGGAGTATGGTCAGGCTGTGCTCAGATTTCCCCCGAGTCTTATTTTTTGAGTGCCTATTGTGTCCTAAGATGCTACTGACCAGCTGTGAGCTGATCAGCCTTTCTCTGCCCTCTGGGCTTCTGAGTCCAATAATGACATCATAGTCTATTTCTGTAATGTTGCACTATCAGTTATTAAAACAATCCCATTTCATTCATGCCCAGTCTTGTTTGTTTTAAACATCACATTCAATTCAGAGCTGTCCCCACCAATCTTTGGGGTAGGCTGGCCTGGTAGGACCAGTCTTTTGCTTTGGGACTCCCTTGTTGACTGAAGTTTACTCAGGCTCCTGAGTCTCTTTTTGGCTCAGTCTTACCCTTAAGCCCAGTTTTAGCTAAGAGTCCTGCTAAACCAGTTTGAGAATTCCCTAGCCTAGATATCCAAACCAGGTAACTCACCCTTCACTCTTGATACCTAACCAAGTTCCTCTTGGTAATTTTATACTTTAGAAAGTCACCCTGAAAATTGGTTATAAATCCTCACTTGTCCCTGTTATGTTCAGGGTTGGGTTCAATCTCTCACCTCTATCTCAAAGGTTTGGAATAAAGTCTTCCTTGCCTGTTTAACTCTGGTGCAATTTTTCTTTGTTAAGTGGTTGGTCTGCCCTCCCATCAACATCCCCTGACTCTTCCACACTTCCACACTAGAGAGGAGGAGGGCAAAAGAGACCTCTCGTTTTGGGACTGTCCCTGGAAAGACACAGGGTAGTCTGCGGTACTCTGAGAAGCAGACACCAAGACCGGAGTGACACATTTCTCAAGACCCTTGAGAAAGTGAGGAAGGAGCTGGAGAAGGTGGAAAGCTGTCTCCTGGGAGGCAGGTCTGACCTTGAGTGAAGGAGAAATAAAGGAATGGAAGGTTGGACTGAAGTGTCTGAGTTCTAAGATGAATTCAGCAAGGTCACTGGGGAGTCCTCTAGCCAGAGTTCTTCACCTGAGGATTCCTGAATGATTCTAGGAGGAGACTAAAATTACTTCCCCTGCCACGCTCAGCCATTGGGTGGGAGCAGCAGGAAGCCTGGCTTTGGTGGAGTTCCAGTCCAAACCCAAGACCCCAGAACTGGCAGGCTGATGCTATAAGTCCTGGCTGAGTCTGAAGCCCTGAGAACCAGGAGTGCTGTTTGAGGGCAAGAGAAGATGGGTGTCTCTGCAGCTTGAGCAGAGACAGCAAACTGCCCTCCTCAAGCCACTTTATGTTCTTTTCAGACCCTCAACAGATTGCTGATTCCCACTTGTATTGGTGAAGGTGATTATTACTCAGTTTACTGATTCAAATGCCGCCTCTCCTGGAGCACCCTCATAGACACACTCAGAAATAATGCTTTCCCAGCTCTTTGGACACTCCTTAACCATCATACAAGTCAGACGCAGCTCCTCTTCATAGAGCCAGTCCTCCCTTTGTGTTGCCTGGGGAATGAGGGGGGAGTGTTGGTTTCATTGCTGGTCCTGATCCAGTGGTGCCTCTCTGCACATCTGCTGGGGCTCTGTGGCTGGTTCCAGAGACTCTGATGGTTCTCTGAATTTGGATTGTGAATTTGATGGGTCATTGTTATGGTTCTACATCTCACCTCAATAATTTAATGGTTCACCTTGACATGCCCTGTTTATGGGAACCACAGTTAAGTTCCAGAGAGAAAATCCAAGACAGTGATAGAACCTAAGAGCAATGATCAGAGAAGGGGACTTTCAGTCTCCATTTCTCCAGGTAGAGATGATGCCTCCTGGGAGTCAGGGTCTGGAGAAATTTGTAGAAGTTGTCTTTAATTTTAGACCAGACCCATGGCTGAGTCATTCTCAGAACTGATACTGTACTTTGCATGAACATCATGTAGGGAAGCCTTCTTCTCTAGAAGTTCAGCTTCATGGTACATAAAAATCACCCAGAAATTTTGTTAAAAATGCAGATTTCAGGGACTGCTCTAGAGTTTACAATTCAACTGATCTGGATGGGGCTCAAGAATCTGTATTTTAAACAAGCCCACATGGGGGATTCTGCTGCAGTCTTTCACTGAAACCCAGGTCGAAGTCTCTATATAAGTATCTTCTATGACCATAGCATCAGGTCCAGTGAGAGAGGGGTGGGGCTCAGTGAGGGTGCTAGAGGTAGAGAGATGCCCATCCCCTCACCAAAGGGGATCACCATTATCACAACCATGGGAAAATATCTGTCCCAGAAAGACACAGGATCTTATAGGAAAATGAAAGGGAATCAGTAGAGGGGAGAGAATAGAGAAGTATACATAAAACATGAAGCTTGAAAGGAATAGTTTGAGATGAAAATGGATGATATGGGCATGAATAACAGGGGCATCCTATAATAAGGATGACATCCAGAGAAAAGATGAGCATCTCTCAGGAAACGGAATCTGGTGAGAAGGAA